TTTTGCTCGTTGCAGGAACACTTGTAAAAGGCGTGAGAATAACATCATATTCTCCATACTCATTCCTTTACCGTTCATCTGGCGCTAACGAGGAGAATTTGATTCGAAATCACAATTTTTCTCGCTGCTGAGCACTTTGCTCCATTTTCAGCCTTTTATGATTGATACTGTTCAGTGGTAGGATATATAGCCAGAATGTAAATTGATGTTGATCACTGTTAACCGTACAGAAACTGTTTCTTGTGATCACAACTGAAAGCAAACGCACCGACGGACATTTCAAGTATTTCAATATTATACAAAACTTACGGCTAAAATCAAAATTGCCCGTCGGAAAAAACGTGAAAGCGCTAAGTGCTTTTTTAAATGTACGAGTGTTCCGAAAGATACAAGAATCCATTGAAAAGAAGCTTTCGCAAAGCCGAGAAGGCTACAGTTTCCATTATGTTTGGTAAACTTTGGTTTGTTTTGGTTCTTGGACCTGTGGGACCTCAGGGACCTCTGGGCCGAAGGTTCATGATGTCATTGTTTTTAACAGCCAATCAAGGGCAAGAATTTGATTTGCATATGAATAACATACAAAAAAACCATTGAATTCGTAACCGAGCCGGGATAGCGCAATTGGCATAAGCATTGAATTGGTAATTAATTGGCAAACAAAGAGGTGACGGGTTCGAGTCCCGCCTGATTAGCATAAAAAAGAAAAAAAAAAAAAGAGCGCGGCTTGGATCTGGGAGGGCTTGGGGCGAGGAGAGGGAAGATAAAAGGCCTTGGGAAGGGTATGGGAAGCGGGAGTTGGTACACCGGCCCGGGGGCGGGCCGGGGGGAGGGCAGGGAGAGGGGGCAGGTGGGAGGGGGGTAGGTAGATAGGTAGATTGGTAGATTGAGGGCTAGGTAGATAGATAGAGAGGTAGATAGGTAGATAGGTAGAGGGGTAGGAAGAGGTGGGTGGGTAGATAGGGAGATAGGTAGAGGGCGGAGGGATGGGAGGGAAGGAAGGAAGGGAAGGGGAAGGGAAGGGAGGGTCTAGCCTGCGAGCAAGGTCTCTTGCTGCCGGGATTGGGGGAGGAATGGGTGGGGTGGGGCAGTGAGAGACCTTGCTCGCAGGCTAGACCCGGGGAGGGTTTTGCTGCTCAACACAATTTTTTTTTTCTTCTTACTTTTATGAAATTCTTGACTCAAAATAAGCACTTTTAGAAAAAGATGCATTGACGTAAGAAAAAAACGGGGAAAAAAACGACGTGTGCGAAGAAACCAGCAAAATTTGTGATTATACAGTTGTCAATACTAATGCCGGAACAACTTCTCCACACTTTGAGACCCACAGGACGCTTTTTCCCACATTCAACTTCGCGAGTTAGTCTACTTATAGTACTTCCCTTTTCTTTAATGCAGTGCATAAACAGACCATGAAGTTCCAAACTGCTCTTCGTCTGAAGTTGGAGAAATTTCTTTATTGGTCATGGACCTTGGGTTACATTTAACAGCCTGATTTTAAGACTGGATTGAAATAGCTTGAATTAACCTTGCCTGCGAAAAAAAAACACGACCTGATGGAATTTCTAAACGTCAATAGGCCGGGCAAACAATGTTTGTTTGGTTCATCTTGTCAACTGCCTTTTGGGTCAAGTTCGAAACTGATGGAGATCTCCTGGAAATGTCCCTGGTACTCTCTTGATGTCTCAAGTAAGAGGATGTAAGTATATTTCATTGTGGAAAAACGTCTTTTACCCGCCGTAGGACACGCAGGATACCACTTCGTTTTGATCTTTCAGGCTGAGTTCATGATTCTATTACAAGTTTTCGGTCGCATCGATAGCATTTTAGTATGATTTACACTGCTACTTGCAGATTTCCAATTGCAGTTAAAAGGGTACCAGATTCAGGCTAGGGTACTGTAGTTGCCTAGTTAGAGAAAAAACGCCGTTTTTCTTGATTTCGAAAACAAAGGGTCATATTGCTGGCTCCAAGTCTATTAAAAGTCCCATAACCTTCGCGTTTTTCATTTATAAGATCAATTTTGCTCGTTGCAGGAACACTTGTAAAAGGCGTGAGAATAACATGCATATTCTCCATACTCATTCCTTTACCGTTCATCTGGCGCTAACGAGGAGAATTTGATTAGAAATCACAATTTCTTTCGCTGCTGAGCAGTTTGCTCTATTTTCAGCCTTTTATGATTGATACTGTTCAGTGGTAGGATATATAGCCAGAATGTAAATTGATGTTGATCACTGTTAACCGTACAGAAACTGTTTCTTGTGATCACAACTGAAAGCAAACGCACCGACGGACATTTCAAGTATTTCAATATTATACAAAACTTACGGCTAAAATCAAAATTGCCCGTCGGAAAAAACGTGAAAGCGCTAAGTGCTTTTTTAAATGTACGAGTGTTCCGAAAGATACAAGAATCCATTGAAAAGAAGCTTTCGCAAAGCCGAGAAGGCTACAGTTTCCATTATGTTTGGTAAACTTTGGTTTGTTTTGGTTCTTGGACCTGTGGGACCTCAGGGACCTCTGGGCCGAAGGTTCATGATGTCATTGTTTTTAACAGCCAATCAAGGGCAAGAATTTGATTTGCATATGAATAACATACAAAAAAACCATTGAATTCGTAACCGAGCCGGGATAGCGCAATTGGCATAAGCATTGAATTGGTAATTAATTGGCAAACAAAGAGGTGACGGGTTCGAGTCCCGCCTGATTAGCATAAAAAGAAAAAAAAAAAAAAAAGAGCGCGCGGCTTGGATCTGGGAGGGCTTGGGGCGAGGAGAGGGAAGATAAAAGGCCTTGGGAAGGGTATGGGAAGCGGGAGTTGGTACACCGGCCCGGGGGCGGGCCGGGGGGAAGGGCAGGAGAGGGGGCAGGTGGGAGGGGGGTAGGTAGATAGGTAGATTGGTAGATTGAGGGCTAGGTAGATAGATAGAGAGGTAGATAGGTAGATAGGTAGAGGGGTAGGTAGAGGTGGGTGGGTAGATAGGGAGATAGGTAGAGGGCGGAGGGATGGGAGGGGGAAGGGAAGGGAAGGGAATGGAAGGAAAGGGAGGGGAGAAAAAGAGAGGGTCTAGCCTGCGAGCAAGCTCTCTTGCTGCCAGGATTGGGGGGAGGAATGGGTGGGGTGGGGCAGTGAGAGACCTTGCACGCAGGCTAGACCCGGGGAGGGTTTTGCTGCTCAACACAATTTTTTTTTTCTTACTTTTATGAAATTCTTGACTCAAAATAAGCACTTTTAGAAAAAGATGCATTGACGTAAGAAAAAACGGGGAAAAAAAACGACGTGTGCGAAGAAACCAGCAAAATTTGTGATTATACAGTTGTCAATACTAATGCCGGAACAACTTCTCCACACTTTGAGACCCACAGGACGCTTTTTTCCCACATTCAACTTCGCGAGTTAGTCTACTTATAGTACTTCCCTTTTCTTTAATGCAGTGCATAAACAGACCATGAAGTTCCAAACTGCTCTTCGTCTGAAGTTGGAGAAATTTCTTTATTGGTCATGGACCTTGGGTTACATTTAACAGCCTGATTTTAAGACTGGATTGGAAATAGCTTGAATTAACCTTGCCTGCGAAAAAAAACACGACCTGATGGAATTTCTAAACGTCAATAGGCCGGGCAAACAATGTTTGTTTGGTTCATCTTGTCAACTGCCTTTTGGGTCAAGTTCGAAACTGATGGAGATCTCCTGAAATGTCCCTGGTACTCTCTTGATGTCTCAAGTAAGAGGATGTAAGTATATTTCATTGTGGAAAAAACGTCTTTTACCCGCCGTAGGACACGCAGGATACCACTTCGTTTTGATCTTTCAGGCTGAGTTCATGATTCTATTACAAGTTTTCGGTCGCATCGATAGCATTTTAGTATGATTTACACTGCTACTTGCAGATTTCCAATTGCAGTTAAAAGGGTACCAGATTCAGGCTAGGGTACTGTAGTTGCCTAGTTAGAGAAAAACGCCGTTTTTCTTGATTTCGAAGCAAAGGGTCATATTGCTGGCTCCAAGTCTATTAAAAGTCCCATAACCTTCGCGTTTTCATTTATAAGATCAATTTTGCTCGTTGCAGGAACACTTGTAAAAGGCGTGAGAATAACATGCATATTCTCCATACTCATTCCTTTACCGTTCATCTGGCGCTAACGAGGAGAATTTGATTAGAAATCACAATTTCTTTCGCTGCTGAGCAGTTTGCTCTATTTTCAGCCTTTTATGATTGATACTGTTCAGTGGTAGGATATATAGCCAGAATGTAAATTGATGTTGATCACTGTTAACCGTACAGAAACTGTTTCTTGTGATCACAACTGAAAGCAAACGCACCGACGGACATTTCAAGTATTTCAATATTATACAAAACTTACGGCTAAAATCAAAATTGCCCGTCGGAAAAAACGTGAAAGCGCTAAGTGCTTTTTTAAATGTACGAGTGTTCCGAAAGATACAAGAATCCATTGAAAAGAAGCTTTCGCAAAGCCGAGAAGGCTACAGTTTCCATTATGTTTGGTAAACTTTGGTTTGTTTTGGTTCTTGGACCTGTGGGACCTCAGGGACCTCTGGGCCGAAGGTTCATGATGTCATTGTTTTTAACAGCCAAACAAGGGCAAAAATTTGATTTGCATATGAAAAACATACAAAAAAACCATTGAATTCGTAACCGAGCCGGGATAGCGCAATTGGCATAAGCATTGAATTGGTAATTAATTGGCAAAAAAAGAGGTGACGGGTTCGAGTCCCGCCTGATTAGCATAAAAAAAAAAAAAAAAAAAAAAGAGCGCGGCTTGGATCTGGGAGGGCTTGGGGCGAGGAGAGGGAAGATAAAAGGCCTTGGGAAGGGTATGGGAAGCGGGAGTTGGTACACCGGCCCGGGGGCGGGCCGGGGGGAAGGGCAGGGAGAGGGGGCAGGTGGGAGGGGGGTAGGTAGATAGGTAGATTGGTAGATTGAGGGCTAGGTAGATAGATAGAGAGGGTAGATAGGTAGATAGGTAGAGGGGTAGGTAGAGGTGGGTGGGTAGATAGGGAGATAGGTAGAGGGCGGAGGGATGGGAGGGGAAGGGAAGGGAAGGGAAGGGAAGGGAAGGGGGGGGGGTCTAGCCTGCGAGCAAGGTCTCTTGCTGCCGGGATTGGGGGAGGAATGGGTGGGGTGGGGCAGTGAGAGACCTTGCTCGCAGGCTAGACCCGGGGAGGGTTTTGCTGCTCAACACAATTTTTTTTTTTTTCTTACTTTTATGAAATTCTTGACTCAAAATAAGCACTTTTAGAAAAAGATGCATTGACGTAAGAAAAAACGGGGAAAAAAAACGACGTGTGCGAAGAAACCAGCAAAATTTGTGATTATACAGTTGTCAATACTAATGCCGGAACAACTTCTCCACACTTTGAGACCCACAGGACGCTTTTTTCCCACATTCAACTTCGCGAGTTAGTCTACTTATAGTACTTCCCTTTTCTTTAATGCAGTGCATAAACAGACCATGAAGTTCCAAACTGCTCTTCGTCTGAAGTTGGAGAAATTTCTTTATTGGTCATGGACCTTGGGTTACATTTAACAGCCTGATTTTAAGACTGGATTGGAAATAGCTTGAATTAACCTTGCCTGCGAAAGAAACACGACCTGATGGAATTTCTAAACGTCAATAGGCCGGGCAAACAATGTTTGTTTGGTTCATCTTGTCAACTGCCTTTTGGGTCAAGTTCGAAACTGATGGAGATCTCCTGAAAATGTCCCTGGTACTCTCTTGATGTCTCAAGTAAGAGGATGTAAGTATATTTCATTGTGGAAAAAACGTCTTTTACCCGCCGTAGGACACGCAGGATACCACTTCGTTTTGATCTTTCAGGCTGAGTTCATGATTCTATTACAAGTTTTCGGTCGCATCGATAGCATTTTAGTATGATTTACACTGCTACTTGCAGATTTCCAATTGCAGTTAAAAGGGTACCAGATTCAGGCTAGGGTACTGTAGTTGCCTAGTTAGAGAAAAAAACGCCGTTTTTCTTGATTTCGAAGCAAAGGGTCATATTGCTGGCTCCAAGTCTATTAAAAGTCCCATAACCTTCGCGTTTTTCATTTATAAGATCAATTTTGCTCGTTGCAGGAACACTTGTAAAAGGCGTGAGAATAACATGCATATTCTCCATACTCATTCCTTTACCGTTCATCTGGCGCTAACGAGGAGAATTTGATTAGAAATCACAATTTCTTTCGCTGCTGAGCAGTTTGCTCTATTTTCAGCCTTTTATGATTGATACTGTTCAGTGGTAGGATATATAGCCAGAATGTAAATTGATGTTGATCACTGTTAACCGTACAGAAACTGTTTCTTGTGATCACAACTGAAAGCAAACGCACCGACGGACATTTCAAGTATTTCAATATTATACAAAACTTACGGCTAAAATCAAAATTGCCCGTCGGAAAAAACGTGAAAGCGCTAAGTGCTTTTTTAAATGTACGAGTGTTCCGAAAGATACAAGAATCCATTGAAAAGAAGCTTTCGCAAAGCCGAGAAGGCTACAGTTTCCATTATGTTTGGTAAACTTTGGTTTGTTTTGGTTCTTGGACCTGTGGGACCTCAGGGACCTCTGGGCCGAAGGTTCATGATGTCATTGTTTTTAACAGCCAATCAAGGGCAAGAATTTGATTTGCATATGAATAACATACAAAAAAAAAAACATTGAATTCGTAACCGAGCCGGGATAGCGCAATTGGCATAAGCATTGAATTGGTAATTAATTGGCAAACAAAGAGGTGACGGGTTCGAGTCCCGCCTGATTAGCATAAAAAAAAAAAAAAAAAAAAAGCGCGGCTTGGATCTGGGAGGGCTTGGGGCGAGGAGAGGGAAGATAAAAGGCCTTGGGAAGGGTATGGGAAGCGGGAGTTGGTACACCGGCCCGGGGGCGGGCCGGGGGAGGGGCAGGGAGAGGGGGCAGGTGGGAGGGGGTAGGTAGATAGGTAGATTGGTAGATTGAGGGCTAGGCCAGATAGATAGATAGAGAGGTAGATAGGTAGATAGGTAGAGGGGTAGGTAGAGGTGGGTGGGTAGATAGGGAGATAGGTAGAGGGCGGAGGGATGGGAGGGGAAGGGGAAGGAAGGGAAGGGAAGGGAAGGAAGGGAGGGGTCTAGCCTGCGAGCAAGGTCTCTTGCTGCCGGGATTGGGGGAGGAATGGGTGGGGTGGGGCAGTGAGAGACCTTGCTCGCAGGCTAGACCCGGGGAGGGTTTTGCTGCTCAACACAATTTTTTTTTTTTTCTTCTTACTTTTATGAAATTCTTGACTCAAAATAAGCACTTTTAGAAAAAGATGCATTGACGTAAGAAAAAAACGGGGAAAAAAAAACGACGTGTGCGAAGAAACCAGCAAAATTTGTGATTATACAGTTGTCAATACTAATGCCGGAACAACTTCTCCACACTTTGAGACCCACAGGACGCTTTTTTCCCACATTCAACTTCGCGAGTTAGTCTACTTATAGTACTTCCCTTTTCTTTAATGCAGTGCATAAACAGACCATGAAGTTCCAAACTGCTCTTCGTCTGAAGTTGGAGAAATTTCTTTATTGGTCATGGACCTTGGGTTACATTTAACAGCCTGATTTTAAGACTGGATTGGAAATAGCTTGAATTAACCTTGCCTGCGAAAAAAACACGACCTGATGGAATTTCTAAACGTCAATAGGCCGGGCAAACAATGTTTGTTTGGTTCATCTTGTCAACTGCCTTTTGGGTCAAGTTCGAAACTGATGGAGATCTCCTGAAATGTCCCTGGTACTCTCTTGATGTCTCAAGTAAGAGGATGTAAGTATATTTCATTGTGGAAAAAACGTCTTTTACCCGCCGTAGGACACGCAGGATACCACTTCGTTTTGATCTTTCAGGCTGAGTTCATGATTCTATTACAAGTTTTCGGTCGCATCGATAGCATTTTAGTATGATTTACACTGCTACTTGCAGATTTCCAATTGCAGTTAAAAGGGTACCAGATTCAGGCTAGGGTACTGTAGTTGCCTAGTTAGAGAAAAACGCCGTTTTTCTTGATTTCGAAGCAAAGGGTCATATTGCTGGCTCCAAGTCTATTAAAAGTCCCATAACCTTCGCGTTTTTCATTTATAAGATCAATTTTGCTCGTTGCAGGAACACTTGTAAAAGGCGTGAGAATAACATGCATATTCTCCATACTCATTCCTTTACCGTTCATCTGGCGCTAACGAGGAGAATTTGATTAGAAATCACAATTTCTTTCGCTGCTGAGCAGTTTGCTCTATTTTCAGCCTTTTATGATTGATACTGTTCAGTGGTAGGATATATAGCCAGAATGTAAATTGATGTTGATCACTGTTAACCGTACAGAAACTGTTTCTTGTGATCACAACTGAAAGCAAACGCACCGACGGACATTTCAAGTATTTCAATATTATACAAAACTTACGGCTAAAATCAAAATTGCCCGTCGGAAAAAACGTGAAAGCGCTAAGTGCTTTTTTAAATGTACGAGTGTTCCGAAAGATACAAGAATCCATTGAAAAGAAGCTTTCGCAAAGCCGAGAAGGCTACAGTTTCCATTATGTTTGGTAAACTTTGGTTTGTTTTGGTTCTTGGACCTGTGGGACCTCAGGGACCTCTGGGCCGAAGGTTCATGATGTCATTGTTTTTAACAGCCAATCAAGGGCAAGAATTTGATTTGCATATGAATAACATACAAAAAAACCATTGAATTCGTAACCGAGCCGGGATAGCGCAATTGGCATAAGCATTGAATTGGTAATTAATTGGCAAACAAAGAGGGGACGGGTTCGAGTCCCGCCTGATTAGCAAAAAAAAAAAAAAAAAAAAAAAGAGCGCGGCTTGGATCGGGGAGGGCTTGGGGCGAGGAGAGGGAAGATAAAAGGCCTTGGGAAGGGTATGGGAAGCGGGAGTTGGTACACCGGCCCGGGGGCGGGCCGGGGGGAAGGGCAGGGAGAGGGGGCAGGTGGGAGGGGGGTAGGTAGATAGGTAGATTGGTAGATTGAGGGCTAGGTAGATAGATAGAGAGGTAGATAGGTAGATAGGTAGAGGGGTAGGTAGAGGTGGGTGGGTAGATAGGGAGATAGGTAGAGGGCGGAGGGATGGGAGGGGGAAGGGAAGGGAAGGGAAGGGAAGGGAAGGGAGGGGGTCTAGCCTGCGAGCAAGGTCTCTTGCTGCCGGGATTGGGGGGAGGAATGGGTGGGGTGGGGCAGTGAGAGACCTTGCTCGCAGGCTAGACCCGGGGAGGGTTTTGCTGCTCAACACAATTTTTTTTTTCTTCTTACTTTTATGAAATTCTTGACTCAAAATAAGCACTTTTAGAAAAAGATGCATTGACGTAAGAAAAAAACGGGGAAAAAAACGACGTGTGCGAAGAAACCAGCAAAATTTGTGATTATACAGTTGTCAATACTAATGCCGGAACAACTTCTCCACACTTTGAGACCCACAGGACGCTTTTTCCCACATTCAACTTCGCGAGTTAGTCTACTTATAGTACTTCCCTTTTCTTTAATGCAGTGCATAAACAGACCATGAAGTTCCAAACTGCTCTTCGTCTGAAGTTGGAGAAATTTCTTTATTGGTCATGGACCTTGGGTTACATTTAACAGCCTGATTTTAAGACTGGATTGGAAATAGCTTGAATTAACCTTGCCTGCGAAAGAAACACGACCTGATGGAATTTCTAAACGTCAATAGGCCGGGCAAACAATGTTTGTTTGGTTCATCTTGTCAACTGCCTTTTGGGTCAAGTTCGAAACTGATGGAGATCTCCTGGAAATGTCCCTGGTACTCTCTTGATGTCTCAAGTAAGAGGATGTAAGTATATTTCATTGTGGAAAAAACGTCTTTTACCCGCCGTAGGACACGCAGGATACCACTTCGTTTTGATCTTTCAGGCTGAGTTCATGATTCTATTACAAGTTTTCGGTCGCATCGATAGCATTTTAGTATGATTTACACTGCTACTTGCAGATTTCCAATTGCAGTTAAAAGGGTACCAGATTCAGGCTAGGGTACTGTAGTTGCCTAGTTAGAGAAAAAAACGCCGTTTTTCTTGATTTCGAAGCAAAGGGTCATATTGCTGGCTCCAAGTCTATTAAAAGTCCCATAACCTTCGCGTTTTTCATTTATAAGATCAATTTTGCTCGTTGCAGGAACACTTGTAAAAGGCGTGAGAATAACATGCATATTCTCCATACTCATTCCTTTACCGTTCATCTGGCGCTAACGAGGAGAATTTGATTAGAAATCACAATTTCTTTCGCTGCTGAGCAGTTTGCTCTATTTTCAGCCTTTTATGATTGATACTGTTCAGTGGTAGGATATATAGCCAGAATGTAAATTGATGTTGATCACTGTTAACCGTACAGAAACTGTTTCTTGTGATCACAACTGAAAGCAAACGCACCGACGGACATTTCAAGTATTTCAATATTATACAAAACTTACGGCTAAAATCAAAATTGCCCGTCGGAAAAAACGTGAAAGCGCTAAGTGCTTTTTTAAATGTACGAGTGTTCCGAAAGATACAAGAATCCATTGAAAAGAAGCTTTCGCAAAGCCGAGAAGGCTACAGTTTCCATTATGTTTGGTAAACTTTGGTTTGTTTTGGTTCTTGGACCTGTGGGACCTCAGGGACCTCTGGGCCGAAGGTTCATGATGTCATTGTTTTTAACAGCCAATCAAGGGCAAGAATTTGATTTGCATATGAATAACATACAAAAAAACCATTGAATTCGTAACCGAGCCGGGATAGCGCAATTGGCATAAGCATTGAATTGGTAATTAATTGGCAAACAAAGAGGTGACGGGTTCGAGTCCCGCCTGATTAGCAAAAAAAAAAAAAAAAAAAAAAAAGAGAGCGCGGCTTGGATCTGGGAGGGCTTGGGGCGAGGAGAGGGAAGATAAAAGGCCTTGGGAAGGGTATGGGAAGCGGGAGTTGGTACACCGGCCCCCGGGGGGCGGGCCGGGGAAGGGCAGGGAGAGGGGGGGCAGGTGGGAGGGGGGGTAGGTAGATAGGTAGATTGGTAGATTGAGGGCTAGGTAGATAGATAGAGAGGTAGATAGGTAGATAGGTAGAGGGGTAGGTAGGTAGGGTGGGTGGGTAGATAGGGAGATAGGTAGAGGGCGGAGGGATGGGAGGGGAAGGGAAGGGAAGGGAAGGGAAGGGAAGGGAAGGGGGGGGTCTAGCCTGCGAGCAAGGTCTCTTGCTGCCGGGATTGGGGGAGGAATGGGTGGGGTGGGGCAGTGAGAGACCTTGCTCGCAGGCTAGACCCGGGGAGGGTTTTGCTGCTCAACACAATTTTTTTTTTTTCTTCTTACTTTTATGAAATTCTTGACTCAAAATAAGCACTTTTAGAAAAAGATGCATTGACGTAAGAAAAAAACGGGGAAAAAAACGACGTGTGCGAAGAAACCAGCAAAATTTGTGATTATACAGTTGTCAATACTAATGCCGGAACAACTTCTCCACACTTTGAGACCCACAGGACGCTTTTTCCCACATTCAACTTCGCGAGTTAGTCTACTTATAGTACTTCCCTTTTCTTTAATGCAGTGCATAAACAGACCATGAAGTTCCAAACTGCTCTTCGTCTGAAGTTGGAGAAATTTCTTTATTGGTCATGGACCTTGGGTTACATTTAACAGCCTGATTTTAAGACTGGATTGGAAATAGCTTGAATTAACCTTGCCTGCGAAAGAAACACGACCTGATGGAATTTCTAAACGTCAATAGGCCGGGCAAACAATGTTTGTTTGGTTCATCTTGTCAACTGCCTTTTGGGTCAAGTTCGAAACTGATGGAGATCTCCTGGAAATGTCCCTGGTACTCTCTTGATGTCTCAAGTAAGAGGATGTAAGTATATTTCATTGTGGAAAAAACGTCTTTTACCCGCCGTAGGACACGCAGGATACCACTTCGTTTTGATCTTTCAGGCTGAGTTCATGATTCTATTACAAGTTTTCGGTCGCATCGATAGCATTTTAGTATGATTTACACTGCTACTTGCAGATTTCCAATTGCAGTTAAAAGGGTACCAGATTCAGGCTAGGGTACTGTAGTTGCCTAGTTAGAGAAAAACGCCGTTTTTCTTGATTTCGAAGCAAAGGGTCATATTGCTGGCTCCAAGTCTATTAAAAGTCCCATAACCTTCGCGTTTTTCATTTATAAGATCAATTTTGCTCGTTGCAGGAACACTTGTAAAAGGCGTGAGAATAACATGCATATTCTCCATACTCATTCCTTTACCGTTCATCTGGCGCTAACGAGGAGAATTTGATTAGAAATCACAATTTCTTTCGCTGCTGAGCAGTTTGCTCTATTTTCAGCCTTTTATGATTGATACTGTTCAGTGGTAGGATATATAGCCAGAATGTAAATTGATGTTGATCACTGTTAACCGTACAGAAACTGTTTCTTGTGATCACAACTGAAAGCAAACGCACCGACGGACATTTCAAGTATTTCAATATTATACAAAACTTACGGCTAAAATCAAAATTGCCCGTCGGAAAAACGTGAAAGCGCTAAGTGCTTTTTAAATGTACGAGTGTTCCGAAAGATACAAGAATCCATTGAAAAAGAAGCTTTCGCAAAGCCGAGAAGGCTACAGTTTCCATTATGTTTGGTAAACTTTGGTTTGTTTTGGTTCTTGGACCTGTGGGACCTCAGGGACCTCTGGGCCGAAGGTTCATGATGTCATTGTTTTTAACAGCCAAACAAGGGCAAGAATTTGATTTGCATATGAATAACATACAAAAAAAACCATTGAATTCGTAACCGAGCCGGGATAGCGCAATTGGCATAAGCATTGAATTGGTAATTAATTGGCAAACAAAGAGGTGACGGGTTCGAGTCCCGCCTGATTAGCATAAAAAAAAAAAAAAAAAAAAAAAAGAGCGCGGCTTGGATCTGGGAGGGCTTGGGGCGAGGAGAGGGAAGATAAAAGGCCTTGGGAAGGGTATGGGAAGCGGGAGTTGGTACACCGGCCCGGGGGCGGCCGGGGGGGGGCAGGCAGGGAGAGGGGCAGGTGGGAGGGGGGTAGGTAGATAGGTAGATTGGTAGATTGAGGGCTAGGTAGATAGATAGATAGAGGTAGATAGGTAGATAGGTAGAGGGGTAGGTAGAGGTGGGTGGGTAGATAGGGAGATAGGTAGAGGGCGGAGGGATGGGAGGGGAAGGGAAGGGAAGGGAAGGGAAGGGAAGGGAAGGGAGGGGGGTCTAGCCTGCGAGCAAGGTCTCTTGCTGCCGGGATTGGGGGGAGGAATGGGTGGGGTGGGGCAGTGAGAGACCTTGCTCGCAGGCTAGACCCGGGGAGGGTTTTGCTGCTCAACACAATTTTTTTTTTTCTTACTTTTATGAAATTCTTGACTCAAAATAAGCACTTTTAGAAAAAGATGCATTGACGTAAGAAAAAAACGGGGAAAAAAAACGACGTGTGCGAAGAAACCAGCAAAATTTGTGATTATACAGTTGTCAATACTAATGGAACAACTTCTCCACACTTTGAGACCCACAGGACGCTTTTTTCCACATTCAACTTCGCGAGTTAGATAGTTTTTTTTTAATGCAGTGCATAAACAGACCATGAAGTTCCAAACTGCTCTTCGTCTGAAGTTGGAGAATTTTCTTTATTGGTCATGGACCTTGGGTTACATTTAACAGCCTGATTTTAAGACTGGATTGGAAATAGCTTGAATTAACCTTGCCTGCGAAAGAAACACGACCTGATGGAATTTCTAAACGTCAATAGGCCGGGCAAACAATGTTTGTTTGGTTCATCTTGTCAACTGCCTTTTGGGTCAAGTTCGAAACTGATGGAGATCTCCTGGAAATGTCCCTGGTACTCTCTTGATGTCTCAAGTAAGAGGATGTAAGTATATTTCATTGTGGAAAAAACGTCTTTTACCCGCCGTAGGACACGCAGGATACCACTTCGTTTTGATCTTTCAGGCTGAGTTCATGATTCTATTACAAGTTTTCGGTCGCATCGATAGCATTTTAGTATGATTTACACTGCTACTTGCAGATTTCCAATTGCAGTTAAAAGGGTACCAGATTCAGGCTAGGGTACTGTAGTTGCCTAGTTAGAGAAAAACGCCGTTTTTCTTGATTTCGAAGCAAAGGGTCATATTGCTGGCTCCAAGTCTATTAAAAGTCCCATAACCTTCGCGTTTTTCATTTATAAGATCAATTTTGCTCGTTGCAGGAACACTTGTAAAAGGCGTGAGAATAACATGCATATTCTCCATACTCATTCCTTTACCGTTCATCTGGCGCTAACGAGGAGAATTTGATTAGAAATCACAATTTCTTTCGCTGCTGAGCAGTTTGCTCTATTTTCAGCCTTTTATGATTGATACTGTTCAGTGGTAGGATATATAGCCAGAATGTAAATTGATGTTGATCACTGTTAACCGTACAGAAACTGTTTCTTGTGATCACAACTGAAAGCAAACGCACCGACGGACATTTCAAGTATTTCAATATTATACAAAACTTACGGCTAAAATCAAAATTGCCCGTCGGAAAAAACGTGAAAGCGCTAAGTGCTTTTTAAATGTACGAGCATTCCGAAAGATACAAGAATCCATTGAAAAGAAGCTTTCGCAAAGCCGAGAAGGCTACAGTTTCCATTATGTTTGGTAAACTTTGGTTTGTTTTGGTTCTTGGACCTGTGGGACCTCAGGGACCTCTGGGCCGAAGGTTCATGATGTCATTGTTTTTAACAGCCAATCAAGGGCAAGAATTTGATTTGCATATGAATAACATACAAAAAAACCATTGAATTCGTAACCGAGCCGGGATAGCGCAATTGGCATAAGCATTGAATTGGTAATTAATTGGCAAACAAAGAGGTGACGGGTTCGAGTCCCGCCTGATTAGCATAAAAAAGAAAAAAAAAAAAAAAAGAGCGCGGCTTGGATCTGGGAGGGCTTGGGGCGAGGAGAGGGAAGATAAAAGGCCTTGGGAAGGGTATGGGAAGCGGGAGTTGGTACACCCGGTCCGGGGGCGGGCCGGGGGAGGGGCAGGGAGAGGGGGCAGGTGGGAGGGGGGTAGGTAGATAGGTAGATTGGTAGATTGAGGGCTAGGTAGATAGATAGATAGTAGATAGGTAGATAGGTAGATAGGTAGAGGTGGGTGGGTAGATAGGGAGATAGGTAGAGGGCGGAGGGATGGGAGGGGAGGGAAGGGAAGGGAAGGAAGGAAGGGAAGGGAAGGGGAGGGGTCTAGCCTGCGAGCAAGGTCTCTTGCTGCCGGGATTGGGGGAGGAATGGGTGGGGTGGGGCAGTGAGAGACCTTGCTCGCAGGCTAGACCCAGGGAGGGTTTTGCTGCTCAACACAATTTTTTTTTTTCTTCTTTTTTTATGAAATTCTTGACTCAAAATAAGCACTTTTAGAAAAAGATGCATTGACGTAAGAAAAAACGGGGAAAAAAACGACGTGTGCGAAGAAACCAGCAAAATTTGTGATTATACAGTTGTCAATACTAATGCCGGAACAACTTCTCCACACTTTGAGACCCACAGGACGCTTTTTCCCACATTCAACTTCGCGAGTTAGTCTACTTACCCTTTTTCTTTAATGCAGTGCATAAACAGACCATGAAGTTCCAAACTGCTCTTCGTCTGAAGTTGGAGAATTTTCTTTATTGGTCATGGACCTTGGGTTACATTTAACAGCCTGATTTTAAGACTGGATTGGAAATAGCTTGAATTAACCTTGCCTGCGAAAGAAACACGACCTGATGGAATTTCTAAACGTCAATAGGCCGGGCAAACAATGTTTGTTTGGTTCATCTTGTCAACTGCCTTTTGGGTCAAGTTCGAAACTGATGGAGATCTCCTGGAAATGTCCCTGGGACTCTTGTGATGTCTCAAGTAAGAGGATGTAAGTATATTTCATTCTGGAAAAAACGTCTTTTACCTGCCGTAGGACACGCAGGATACCACTTCGTTTTGATCTTTCAGGCTGAGTTCATGATTCTATTACAAGTTTTCGGTCGCATCGATAGCATTTTAGTATGATTTACACTGCTACTTGCAGATTTCCTATTGCAATCAAAAGGGTAGCAGATTCAGGCTAGAGTACTGTAGTTGCCTAGTTAGAGAAAAACGCCGTTTTTCTTGATTTCGAAGCAAAGGGTCATATTGCTGGCTCCAAGTCTATTAAAAGTCCCATAACCTTCGCGTTTTTCATTTATAAGATCAATTTTGCTCGTTGCAGGAACACTTGTAAAAGGCGTGAGAATAACATGCATATTCTCCATACTCATTCCTTTACCGTTCATCTGGCGCTAACGAGGAGAATTTGATTAGAAATCACAATTTCTTTCGCTGCTGAGCAGTTTGCTCTATTTTCAGCCTTTTATGATTGATACTGTTCAGTGGTAGGATATATAGCCAGAATGTAAATTGATGTTGATCACTGTTAACCGTACAGAAACTGTTTCTTGTGATCACAACTGAAAGCAAACGCACCGACGGACATTTCAAGTATTTCAATATTATACAAAACTTACGGCTAAAATCAAAATTGCCCGTCGGAAAAACGTGAAAGCGCTAAGTGCTTTTTAAATGTACGAGCATTCCGAAAGATACAAGAATCCATTGAAAAGAAGCTTTCGCAAAGCCGAGAAGGCTACAGTTTCCATTATGTTTGGTAAACTTTGGTTTGTTTTGGTTCTTGGACCTGTGGGACCTCAGGGACCTCTGGGCCGAAGGCTCATGATGTCATTGTTTTTAACAGCCAATCAAGGGCAAGAATTTGATTTGCATATGAATAACATACAAAAAAAACCATTGAATTCGTAACCGAGCCGGGATAGCGCAATTGGCATAAGCATTGAATTGGTAATTAATTGGCAAACAAAGAGGTGACGGGTTCGAGTCCCGCCTGATTAGCATAAAAAAAAAAAAAAAAAAAAAAAAGCGCGGCTTGGATCTGGGAGGGCTTGGGGCGAGGAGAGGGAAGATAAAAGGCCTTGGGAAGGGTATGGGAAGCGGGAGTTGGTACACCGGTCCGGGGGCGGGCCGGGGAGGGGGGCAGGGAGAGGGGGCAGGTGGGAGGGGGTAGGTAGATAGGCAGATAGGTAGATAGGTAGGTAGATAGATAGAAAGGTAGATAGGTAGATAGGTAGATAGGAAGGTAGAGGTGGGTGGGTAGATAGGGAGATAGGTAGAGGGCGGAGGGATGGGAGGGGAAGGGAAGGAAGGGAAGGAAGGGAAGGAAGGGAAGGGAGGGTCTAGCCTGCGAGCAAGGTCTCTTGCTGCCGGGATTGGGGGAGGAATGGGTGGGGTGGGGCAGTGAGAGACCTTGCTCGCAGGCTAGACCCGGGGAGGGTTTTGCTGCTCAACACAATTTTTTTTTTTTTTTCTTCTTACTTTTATGAAATTCTTGACTCAAAATAAGCACTTTTAGAAAAAGATGCATTGACGTAAGAAAAAACGGGGAAAAAAAAACGACGTGTGCGAAGAAACCAGCAAAATTTGTGATTATACAGTTGTCAATACTAATGGGAACAACTTCTCCACACTTTGAGACCCACAGGACGCTTTTTCCCACATTCAACTTCGCTTATAGTACCCTTTTCTTTAATGCAGTGCATAAACAGACCATGAAGTTCCAAACTGCTCTTCGTCTGAAGTTGGAGAATTTTCTTTATTGGTCATGGACCTTGGGTTACATTTAACAGCCTGATTTTAAGACTGGATTGGAAATAGCTTGAATTAACCTTGCCTGCGAAAAAAACACGACCTGATGGAATTTCTAAACGTCAATAGGCCGGGCAAACAATGTTTGTTTGGTTCATCTTGTCAACTGCCTTTTGGGTCAAGTTCGAAACTGATGGAGATCTCCTGGAAATGTCCCTGGGACTCTTGTGATGTCTCAAGTAAGAGGATGTAAGTATATTTCATTCTGGAAAAAACGTCTTTTACCTGCCGTAGGACACGCAGGATACCACTTCGTTTTGATCTTTCAGGCTGAGTTCATGATTCTATTACAAGTTTTCGGTCGCATCGATAGCATTTTAGTATGATTTACACTGCTACTTGCAGATTTCCTATTGCAATCAAAAGGGTAGCAGATTCAGGCTAGAGTACTGTAGTTGCCTAGTTAGAGAAAAACGCCGTTTTTCTTGATTTCGAAGCAAAGGGTCATATTGCTGGCTCCAAGTCTATTAAAAGTCCCATAACCTTCGCGTTTTTCATTTATAAGATCAATTTTGCTCGTTGCAGGAACACTTGTAAAAGGCGTGAGAATAACATGCATATTCTCCATACTCATTCCTTTACCGTTCATCTGGCGCTAACCAGGAGAATTTGATTAGAAATCACAATTTCTTTCGCTGCTGAGCAGTTTGCTCTATTTTCAGCCTTTTATGATTGATACTGTTCAGTGGTAGGATATATAGCCAGAATGTAAATTGATGTTGATCACTGTTAACCGTACAGAAACTGTTTCTTGTGATCACAACTGAAAGCAAACGCACCGACGGACATTTCAAGTATTTCAATATTATACAAAACTTACGGCTAAAATCAAAATTGCCCGTCGGAAAAACGTGAAAGCGCTAAGTGCTTTTTAAATGTACGAGCATTCCGAAAGATACAAGAATCCATTGAAAAGAAGCTTTCAAAAGCCGAGAAGGCTACAGTTTCCATTATGTTTGGTAAACTTTGGTTTGTTTTGGTTCTTGGACCTGTGGGACCTCAGGGACCTCTGGGCCGAAGGCTCATGATGTCATTGTTTTTTAACAGCCAATCAAGGGCAAGAATTTGATTTGCATATGAATAACATACAAAAAAACCATTGAATTCGTAACCGAGCCGGGATAGCGCAATTGGCATAAGCATTGAATTGGTAATTAATTGGCAAAAAAAGAGGTGACGGGTTCGAGTCCCGCCTGATTAGCAAAAAAAAGAAAAAAAAAAAAAAGAGAGCGCGGCTTGGATCTGGGAGGGCTTGGGGCGAGGAGAGGGAAGATAAAAGGCCTTGGGAAGGGTATGGGAAGCGGGAGTTGGTACACCGGTCCGGGGGCGGGCCGGGGGGAGGGCAGGGAGAGGGGCAGGTGGGAGGGGGGGTAGGTAGATAGGTAGATTGGTAGATTGAGGGCTAGGTAGATAGATAGATAGATGGGTAGATAGGTAGATAGGTAGAGGTGGGTAGGTAGATAGGGAGATAGGTAGAGGGCGGAGGGATGGGAGGGGGAAGGGAAGGGAAGGGAAGAGAAGGGAAGGGAAGGGAAGGGAGGGGGTCTAGCCTGCGAGCAAGGTCTCTTGCTGCCGGGATTGGGGGGAGGAATGGGTGGGGTGGGGCAGTGAGAGACCTTGCTCGCAGGCTAGACCCGGGGAGGGTTTTGCTGCTCAACACAATTTTTTTTTTTCTTCTTACTTTTATGAAATTCTTGACTCAAAATAAGCACTTTTAGAAAAAGATGCATTGACGTAAGAAAAAAACGGGGAAAAAAACGACGTGTGCGAAGAAACCAGCAAAATTTGTGATTATACAGTTGTCAATACTAATGGGAAACAACTTCTCCACACTTTGAGACCCACAGGACGCTTTTTCCCAACATTCAACTTCGCGACCCTTTTCTTTAATGCAGTGCATAAACAGACCATGAAGTTCCAAACTGCTCTTCGTCTGAAGTTGGAGAATTTTCTTTATTGGTCATGGACCTTGGGTTACATTTAACAGCCTGATTTTAAGACTGGATTGGAAATAGCTTGAATTAACCTTGCCTGCGAAAGAAACACGACCTGATGGAATTTCTAAACGTCAATAGGCCGGGCAAACAATGTTTGTTTGGTTCATCTTGTCAACTGCCTTTTGGGTCAAGTTCGAAACTGATGGAGATCTCCTGGAAATGTCCCTGGGACTCTTGTGATGTCTCAAGTAAGAGGATGTAAGTATATTTCATTCTGGAAAAAACGTCTTTTACCTGCCGTAGGACACGCAGGATACCACTTCGTTTTGATCTTTCAGGCTGAGTTCATGATTCTATTACAAGTTTTCGGTCGCATCGATAGCATTTTAGTATGATTTACACTGCTACTTGCAGATTTCCTATTGCAATCAAAAGGGTAGCAGATTCAGGCTAGAGTACTGTAGTTGCCTAGTTAGAGAAAAACGCCGTTTTTCTTGATTTCGAAGCAAAGGGTCATATTGCTGGCTCCAAGTCTATTAAAAGTCCCATAACCTTCGCGTTTTTCATTTATAAGATCAATTTTGCTCGTTGCAGGAACACTTGTAAAAGGCGTGAGAATAACATGCATATTCTCCATACTCATTCCTTTACCGTTCATCTGGCGCTAACCAGGAGAATTTGATTAGAAATCACAATTTCTTTCGCTGCTGAGCAGTTTGCTCTATTTTCAGCCTTTTATGATTGATACTGTTCAGTGGTAGGATATATAGCCAGAATGTAAATTGATGTTGATCACTGTTAACCGTACAGAAACTGTTTCTTGTGATCACAACTGAAAGCAAACGCACCGACGGACATTTCAAGTATTTCAATATTATACAAAAGTTACGGCTAAAATCAAAATTGCCCGTCGGAAAAACGTGAAAGCGCTAAGTGCTTTTTTAAATGTACGAGCATTCCGAAAGATACAAGAATCCATTGAAAAGAAGCTTTCGCAAAGCCGAGAAGGCTACAGTTTCCATTATGTTTGGTAAACTTTGGTTTGTTTTGGTTCTTGGACCTGTGGGACCTCAGGGACCTCTGGGCCGAAGGTTCATGATGTCATTGTTTTTAACAGCCAATCAAGGGCAAGAATTTGATTTGCATATGAATAACATACAAAAAAACCATTGAATTCGTAACCGAGCCGGGATAGCGCAATTGGCATAAGCATTGAATTGGTAATTAATTGGCAAACAAAGAGGTGACGGGTTCGAGTCCCGCCTGATTAGCATAAAAAAGAAAAAAAAAAAAAAGAGAGCGCGGCTTGGATCTGGGAGGGCTTGGGGCGAGGAGAGGGAAGATAAAAGGCCTTGGGAAGGGTATGGGAAGCGGGAGTTGGTACACCGGTCCGGGGGCGGGCCGGGGGGGGCAGGGAGAGGGGGCAGGTGGGAGGGGGGGTAGGTAGATAGGTAGATTGGTAGATTGAGGGCTAGGTAGATAGATAGATAGAGAGGTAGATAGGTAGATAGGTAGAGGTGGGTAGGTAGATAGGGAGATAGGTAGAGGGCGGAGGGATGGGAGGGGGAAGGGAAGGGAAGGGAAGAGAAGGGAAGGGAAGGGAAGGGAGGGGGTCTAGCCTGCGAGCAAGGTCTCTTGCTGCCGGGATTGGGGGGAGGAATGGGTGGGGTGGGGCAGTGAGAGACCTTGCTCGCAGGCTAGACCCGGGGAGGGTTTTGCTGCTCAACACAATTTTTTTTTTTCTTCTTACTTTTATGAAATTCTTGACTCAAAATAAGCACTTTTAGAAAAAGATGCATTGACGTAAGAAAAAAACGGGGAAAAAAACGACGTGTGCGAAGAAACCAGCAAAATTTGTGATTATACAGTTGTCAATACTAATGGGAACAACTTCTCCACACTTTGAGACCCACAGGACGCTTTTTCCCACATTCAACTTCGCGACCCTTTTCTTTAATGCAGTGCATAAACAGACCATGAAGTTCCAAACTGCTCTTCGTCTGAAGTTGGAGAATTTTCTTTATTGGTCATGGACCTTGGGTTACATTTAACAGCCTGATTTTAAGACTGGATTGGAAATAGCTTGAATTAACCTTGCCTGCGAAAGAAACACGACCTGATGGAATTTCTAAACGTCAATAGGCCGGGCAAACAATGTTTGTTTGGTTCATCTTGTCAACTGCCTTTTGGGTCAAGTTCGAAACTGATGGAGATCTCCTGGAAATGTCCCTGGGACTCTTGTGATGTCTCAAGTAAGAGGATGTAAGTATATTTCATTCTGGAAAAAACGTCTTTTACCTGCCGTAGGACACGCAGGATACCACTTCGTTTTGATCTTTCAGGCTGAGTTCATGATTCTATTACAAGTTTTCGGTCGCATCGATAGCATTTTAGTATGATTTACACTGCTACTTGCAGATTTCCTATTGCAATCAAAAGGGTAGCAGATTCAGGCTAGAGTACTGTAGTTGCCTAGTTAGAGAAAAACGCCGTTTTTCTTGATTTCGAAAACAAAGGGTCATATTGCTGGCTCCAAGTCTATTAAAAGTCCCATAACCTTCGCGTTTTTCATTTATAAGATCAATTTTGCTCGTTGCAGGAACACTTGTAAAAGGCGTGAGAATAACATGCATATTCTCCATACTCATTCCTTTACCGTTCATCTGGCGCTAACCAGGAGAATTTGATTAGAAATCACAATTTCTTTCGCTGCTGAGCAGTTTGCTCTATTTTCAGCCTTTTATGATTGATACTGTTCAGTGGTAGGATATATAGCCAGAATGTAAATTGATGTTGATCACTGTTAACCGTACAGAAACTGTTTCTTGTGATCACAACTGAAAGCAAACGCACCGACGGACATTTCAAGTATTTCAATATTATACAAAAGTTACGGCTAAAATCAAAATTGCCCGTCGGAAAAACGTGAAAGCGCTAAGTGCTTTTTTAAATGTACGAGCATTCCGAAAGATACAAGAATCCATTGAAAAGAAGCTTTCAAAAGCCGAGAAGGCTACAGTTTCCATTATGTTTGGTAAACTTTGGTTTGTTTTGGTTCTTGGACCTGTGGGACCTCAGGGACCTCTGGGCCGAAGGCTCATGATGTCATTGTTTTTTTAACAGCCAATCAAGGGCAAGAATTTGATTTGCATATGAATAACATACAAAAAAACCATTGAATTCGTAACCGAGCCGGGATAGCGCAATTGGCATAAGCATTGAATTGGTAATTAATTGGCAAACAAAGAGGTGACGGGTTCGAGTCCCGCCTGATTAGCATAAAAAAGAAAAAAAAAAAAAAAAAAGAGAGCGCGGCTTGGATCTGGGAGGGCTTGGGGCGAGGAGAGGGAAGATAAAAGGCCTTGGGAAGGGTATGGGAAGCGGGAGTTGGTACACCGGTCCGGGGGCGGGCCGGGGGAGGGCAGGGAGAGGGGGGCAGGTGGGAGGGGGTAGGTAGATAGGTAGATTGGTAGATTGAGGGCTAGGTAGATAGATAGATAGAGAGGTAGATAGGTAGATAGGTAGAGGTGGGTAGGTAGATAGGGAGATAGGTAGAGGGCGGAGGGATGGGAGGGGAAGGGAAGGGAAGGGAAGAGAAGGGAAGGAAGGGAAGGGAGGGTCTAGCCTGCGAGCAAGGTCTCTTGCTGCCGGGATTGGGGGAGGAATGGGTGGGGTGGGGCAGTGAGAGACCTTGCTCGCAGGCTAGACCCGGGGAGGGTTTTGCTGCTCAACACAATTTTTTTTTTTCTTACTTTTACTTTTATGAAATTCTTGACTCAAAATAAGCACTTTTAGAAAAAGATGCATTGACGTAAGAAAAAAAACGGGGAAAAAAAACGACGTGCGAAGAAACCAGCAAAATTTGTGATTATACAGTTGTCAATACTAATGGGAACAACTTCTCCACACTTTGAGACCCACAGGACGCTTTTTCCCACATTCAACTTCGCGACCCTTTTCTTTAATGCAGTGCATAAACAGACCATGAAGTTCCAAACTGCTCTTCGTCTGAAGTTGGAGAATTTTCTTTATTGGTCATGGACCTTGGGTTACATTTAACAGCCTGATTTTAAGACTGGATTGGAAATAGCTTGAATTAACCTTGCCTGCGAAAGAAACACGACCTGATGGAATTTCTAAACGTCAATAGGCCGGGCAAACAATGTTTGTTTGGTTCATCTTGTCAACTGCCTTTTGGGTCAAGTTCGAAACTGATGGAGATCTCCTGGAAATGTCCCTGGGACTCTTGTGATGTCTCAAGTAAGAGGATGTAAGTATATTTCATTCTGGAAAAAACGTCTTTTACCTGCCGTAGGACACGCAGGATACCACTTCGTTTTGATCTTTCAGGCTGAGTTCATGATTCTATTACAAGTTTTCGGTCGCATCGATAGCATTTTAGTATGATTTACACTGCTACTTGCAGATTTCCTATTGCAATCAAAAGGGTAGCAGATTCAGGCTAGAGTACTGTAGTTGCCTAGTTAGAGAAAAACGCCGTTTTTCTTGATTTCGAAGCAAAGGGTCATATTGCTGGCTCCAAGTCTATTAAAAGTCCCATAACCTTCGCGTTTTTCATTTATAAGATCAATTTTGCTCGTTGCAGGAACACTTGTAAAAGGCGTGAGAATAACATGCATATTCTCCATACTCATTCCTTTACCGTTCATCTGGCGCTAACCAGGAGAATTTGATTAGAAATCACAATTTCTTTCGCTGCTGAGCAGTTTGCTCTATTTTCAGCCTTTTATGATTGATACTGTTCAGTGGTAGGATATATAGCCAGAATGTAAATTGATGTTGATCACTGTTAACCGTACAGAAACTGTTTCTTGTGATCACAACTGAAAGCAAACGCACCGACGGACATTTCAAGTATTTCAATATTATACAAAAGTTACGGCTAAAATCAAAATTGCCCGTCGGAAAAACGTGAAAGCGCTAAGTGCTTTTTTAAATGTACGAGCATTCCGAAAGATACAAGAATCCATTGAAAAGAAGCTTTCGCAAAGCCGAGAAGGCTACAGTTTCCATTATGTTTGGTAAACTTTGGTTTGTTTTGGTTCTTGGACCTGTGGGACCTCAGGGACCTCTGGGCCGAAGGCTCATGATGTCATTGTTTTTAACAGCCAATCAAGGGCAAGAATTTGATTTGCATATGAATAACATACAAAAAAACCATTGAATTCGTAACCGAGCCGGGATAGCGCAATTGGCATAAGCATTGAATTGGTAATTAATTGGCAAACAAAGAGGTGACGGGTTCGAGTCCCGCCTGATTAGCATAAAAAAAAAAAAAAAAAAAAGAGAGCGCGGCTTGGATCTGGGAGGGCTTGGGGCGAGGAGAGGGAAGATAAAAGGCCTTGGGAAGGGTATGGGAAGCGGGAGTTGGTACACCGGTCCGGGGGCGGGCCGGGGGGAGGGCAGGGAGAGGGGGCAGGTGGGAGGGGGGTAGGTAGATAGGTAGATTGGTAGATTGAGGGCTAGGTAGATAGATAGATAGATAGAGGGTAGATAGGTAGATAGGTAGAGGTGGGTGGGTAGATAGGGAGATAGGTAGAGGGCGGAGGGATGGGAGGGGAAGGGAAGGGAAGGGAAGAAGGGAAGGGAAGGGAAGGGAGGGGTCTAGCCTGCGAGCAAGGTCTCTTGCTGCCGGGATTGGGGGAGGAATGGGTGGGGTGGGGCAGTGAGAGACCTTGCTCGCAGGCTAGACCCGGGGAGGGGTTTTGCTGCTCAACACAATTTTTTTTTTTCTTACTTTTATGAAATTCTTGACTCAAAATAAGCACTTTTAGAAAAAGATGCATTGACGTAAGAAAAAAACGGGGAAAAAAAAACGACGTGTGCGAAGAAACCAGCAAAATTTGTGATTATACAGTTGTCAATACTAATGGGAACAACTTCTCCACACTTTGAGACCCACAGGACGCTTTTTCCCACATTCAACTTCGCGACCCTTTTCTTTAATGCAGTGCATAAACAGACCATGAAGTTCCAAACTGCTCTTCGTCTGAAGTTGGAGAATTTTCTTTATTGGTCATGGACCTTGGGTTACATTTAACAGCCTGATTTTAAGACTGGATTGGAAATAGCTTGAATTAACCTTGCCTGCGAAAGAAAAACACGACCTGATGGAATTTCTAAACGTCAATAGGCCGGGCAAACAATGTTTGTTTGGTTCATCTTGTCAACTGCCTTTTGGGTCAAGTTCGAAACTGATGGAGATCTCCTGGAAATGTCCCTGGGACTCTTGTGATGTCTCAAGTAAGAGGATGTAAGTATATTTCATTCTGGAAAAAACGTCTTTTACCTGCCGTAGGACACGCAGGATACCACTTCGTTTTGATCTTTCAGGCTGAGTTCATGATTCTATTACAAGTTTTCGGTCGCATCGATAGCATTTTAGTATGATTTACACTGCTACTTGCAGATTTCCTATTGCAATCAAAAGGGTAGCAGATTCAGGCTAGAGTACTGTAGTTGCCTAGTTAGAGAAAAACGCCGTTTTTCTTGATTTCGAAGCAAAGGGTCATATTGCTGGCTCCAAGTCTATTAAAAGTCCCATAACCTTCGCGTTTTTCATTTATAAGATCAATTTTGCTCGTTGCAGGAACACTTGTAAAAGGCGTGAGAATAACATGCATATTCTCCATACTCATTCCTTTACCGTTCATCTGGCGCTAACCAGGAGAATTTGATTAGAAATCACAATTTCTTTCGCTGCTGAGCAGTTTGCTCTATTTTCAGCCTTTTATGATTGATACTGTTCAGTGGTAGGATATATAGCCAGAATGTAAATTGATGTTGATCACTGTTAACCGTACAGAAACTGTTTCTTGTGATCACAACTGAAAGCAAACGCACCGACGGACATTTCAAGTATTTCAATATTATACAAAAGTTACGGCTAAAATCAAAATTGCCCGTCGGAAAAACGTGAAAGCGCTAAGTGCTTTTTTAAATGTACGAGCATTCCGAAAGATACAAGAATCCATTGAAAAGAAGCTTTCGCAAAGCCGAGAAGGCTACAGTTTCCATTATGTTTGGTAAACTTTGGTTTGTTTTGGTTCTTGGACCTGTGGGACCTCAGGGACCTCTGGGCCGAAGGCTCATGATGTCATTGTTTTTAACAGCCAATCAAGGGCAAGAATTTGATTTGCATATGAATAACAAACAAAAAAACCATTGAATTCGTAACCGAGCCGGGATAGCGCAATTGGCATAAGCATTGAATTGGTAATTAATTGGCAAACAAAGAGGTGACGGGTTCGAGTCCCGCCTGATTAGCATAAAAAAGAAAAAAAAAAAAAAGAGAGCGCGGCTTGGATCTGGGAGGGCTTGGGGCGAGGAGAGGGAAGATAAAAGGCCTTGGGAAGGGTATGGGAAGCGGGAGTTGGTACACCGGTCCGGGGGCGGGCCGGGGGGAGGGCAGGGAGAGGGGGCAGGTGGGAGGGGGGTAGGTAGATAGGTAGATTGGTAGATTGAGGGCTAGGTAGATAGATAGATAGAGAGGTAGATAGGTAGATAGGTAGAGGTGGGTAGGTAGATAGGGAGATAGGTAGAGGGCGGAGGGATGGGAGGGGGAAGGGAAGGGAAGGGAAGAGAAGGGAAGGGAAGGGAAGGGAGGGGGTCTAGCCTGCGAGCAAGGTCTCTTGCTGCCGGGATTGGGGGGAGGAATGGGTGGGGTGGGGCAGTGAGAGACCTTGCTCGCAGGCTAGACCCGGGGAGGGTTTTGCTGCTCAACACAATTTTTTTTTTTCTTCTTACTTTTATGAAATTCTTGACTCAAAATAAGCACTTTTAGAAAAAGATGCATTGACGTAAGAAAAAAACGGGGAAAAAAACGACGTGTGCGAAGAAACCAGCAAAATTTGTGATTATACAGTTGTCAATACTAATGGGAACAACTTCTCCACACTTTGAGACCCACAGGACGCTTTTTCCCACATTCAACTTCGCGACCCTTTTCTTTAATGCAGTGCATAAACAGACCATGAAGTTCCAAACTGCTCTTCGTCTGAAGTTGGAGAATTTTCTTTATTGGTCATGGACCTTGGGTTACATTTAACAGCCTGATTTTAAGACTGGATTGGAAATAGCTTGAATTAACCTTGCCTGCGAAAGAAACACGACCTGATGGAATTTCTAAACGTCAATAGGCCGGGCAAACAATGTTTGTTTGGTTCATCTTGTCAACTGCCTTTTGGGTCAAGTTCGAAACTGATGGAGATCTCCTGGAAATGTCCCTGGGACTCTTGTGATGTCTCAAGTAAGAGGATGTAAGTATATTTCATTCTGGAAAAACGTCTTTTACCTGCCGTAGGACACGCAGGATACCACTTCGTTTTGATCTTTCAGGCTGAGTTCATGATTCTATTACAAGTTTTCGGTCGCATCGATAGCATTTTAGTATGATTTACACTGCTACTTGCAGATTTCCTATTGCAATCAAAAGGGTAGCAGATTCAGGCTAGAGTACTGTAGTTGCCTAGTTAGAGAAAAACGCCGTTTTTCTTGATTTCGAAGCAAAGGGTCATATTGCTGGCTCCAAGTCTATTAAAAGTCCCATAACCTTCGCGTTTTTCATTTATAAGATCAATTTTGCTCGTTGCAGGAACACTTGTAAAAGGCGTGAGAATAACATGCATATTCTCCATACTCATTCCTTTACCGTTCATCTGGCGCTAACCAGGAGAATTTGATTAGAAATCACAATTTCTTTCGCTGCTGAGCAGTTTGCTCTATTTTCAGCCTTTTATGATTGATACTGTTCAGTGGTAGGATATATAGCCAGAATGTAAATTGATGTTGATCACTGTTAACCGTACAGAAACTGTTTCTTGTGATCACAACTGAAAGCAAACGCACCGACGGACATTTCAAGTATTTCAATATTATACAAAAGTTACGGCTAAAATCAAAATTGCCCGTCGGAAAAACGTGAAAGCGCTAAGTGCTTTTTTAAATGTACGAGCATTCCGAAAGATACAAGAATCCATTGAAAAGAAGCTTTCGCAAAGCCGAGAAGGCTACAGTTTCCATTATGTTTGGTAAACTTTGGTTTGTTTTGGTTCTTGGACCTGTGGGACCTCAGGGACCTCTGGGCCGAAGGCTCATGATGTCATTGTTTTTAACAGCCAATCAAGGGCAAGAATTTGATTTGCATATGAATAACATACAAAAAAAAAACCATTGAATTCGTAACCGAGCCGGGATAGCGCAATTGGCATAAGCATTGAATTGGTAATTAATTGGCAAACAAAGAGGTGACGGGTTCGAGTCCCGCCTGATTAGCATAAAAAGAAAAAAAAAAAAAAAAGAGCGCGGCTTGGATCTGGGAGGGCTTGGGGCGAGGAGAGGGAAGATAAAAGGCCTTGGGAAGGGTATGGGAAGCGGGAGTTGGTACACCGGTCCGGGGGCGGGCCGGGGGGGGCAGGGAGAGGGGGCAGGTGGGAGGGGGGGTAGGTAGATAGGTAGATTGGTAGATTGAGGGCTAGGTAGATAGATAGATAGAGAGGTAGATAGGTAGATAGGTAGAGGTGGGTAGGTAGATAGGGAGATAGGTAGAGGGCGGAGGGATGGGAGGGGGAAGGGAAGGGAAGGGAAGAGAAGGGAAGGGAAGGGAAGGGAGGGGGTCTAGCCTGCGAGCAAGGTCTCTTGCTGCCGGGATTGGGGGAGGAATGGGTGGGGTGGGGCAGTGAGAGACCTTGCTCGCAGGCTAGACCCGGGGAGGGTTTTGCTGCTCAACACAATTTTTTTTTTTCTTCTTACTTTTATGAAATTCTTGACTCAAAATAAGCACTTTTAGAAAAAGATGCATTGACGTAAGAAAAAAACGGGGAAAAAAAAACGACGTGTGCGAAGAAACCAGCAAAATTTGTGATTATACAGTTGTCAATACTAATGGGAACAACTTCTCCACACTTTGAGACCCACAGGACGCTTTTTTCCCACATTCAACTTCGCGACCCTTTTCTTTAATGCAGTGCATAAACAGACCATGAAGTTCCAAACTGCTCTTCGTCTGAAGTTGGAGAATTTTCTTTATTGGTCATGGACCTTGGGTTACATTTAACAGCCTGATTTTAAGACTGGATTGGAAATAGCTTGAATTAACCTTGCCTGCGAAAGAAACACGACCTGATGGAATTTCTAAACGTCAATAGGCCGGGCAAACAATGTTTGTTTGGTTCATCTTGTCAACTGCCTTTTGGGTCAAGTTCGAAACTGATGGAGATCTCCTGAAATGTCCCTGGGACTCTTGTGATGTCTCAAGTAAGAGGATGTAAGTATATTTCATTCTGGAAAAAACGTCTTTTACCTGCCGTAGGACACGCAGGATACCACTTCGTTTTGATCTTTCAGGCTGAGTTCATGATTCTATTACAAGTTTTCGGTCGCATCGATAGCATTTTAGTATGATTTACACTGCTACTTGCAGATTTCCTATTGCAATCAAAAGGGTAGCAGATTCAGGCTAGAGTACTGTAGTTGCCTAGTTAGAGAAAAACGCCGTTTTTCTTGATTTCGAAGCAAAGGGTCATATTGCTGGCTCCAAGTCTATTAAAAGTCCCATAACCTTCGCGTTTTTCATTTATAAGATCAATTTTGCTCGTTGCAGGAACACTTGTAAAAGGCGTGAGAATAACATGCATATTCTCCATACTCATTCCTTTACCGTTCATCTGGCGCTAACCAGGAGAATTTGATTAGAAATCACAATTTCTTTCGCTGCTGAGCAGTTTGCTCTATTTTCAGCCTTTTATGATTGATACTGTTCAGTGGTAGGATATATAGCCAGAATGTAAATTGATGTTGATCACTGTTAACCGTACAGAAACTGTTTCTTGTGATCACAACTGAAAGCAAACGCACCGACGGACATTTCAAGTATTTCAATATTATACAAAAGTTACGGCTAAAATCAAAATTGCCCGTCGGAAAAACGTGAAAGCGCTAAGTGCTTTTTTTAAATGTACGAGCATTCCGAAAGATACAAGAATCCATTGAAAAGAAGCTTTCGCAAAGCCGAGAAGGCTACAGTTTCCATTATGTTTGGTAAACTTTGGTTTGTTTTGGTTCTTGGACCTGTGGGACCTCAGGGACCTCTGGGCCGAAGGCTCATGATGTCATTGTTTTTAACAGCCAATCAAGGGCAAGAATTTGATTTGCATATGAATAACATACAAAAAAACCATTGAATTCGTAACCGAGCCGGGATAGCGCAATTGGCATAAGCATTGAATTGGTAATTAATTGGCAAACAAAGAGGTGACGGGTTCGAGTCCCGCCTGATTAGCAAAAAAAAAAAAAAAAAAAAAAAAGAGAGCGCGGCTTGGATCTGGGAGGGCTTGGGGCGAGGAGAGGGAAGATAAAAGGCCTTGGGAAGGGTATGGGAAGCGGGAGTTGGTACACCGGTCCGGGGGCGGGCCGGGGGGAGGGGCAGGAGAGGGGGCAGGTGGGAGGGGGGGTAGGTAGATAGGTAGATTGGTAGATTGAGGGCTAGGTAGATAGATAGATAGAGAGGTAGATAGGTAGATAGGTAGAGGTGGGTAGGTAGATAGGGAGATAGGTAGAGGGCGGAGGGATGGGAGGGGGAAGGGAAGGGAAGGGAAGAGAAGGGAAGGGAAGGGGGGGGTCTAGCCTGCGAGCAAGGTCTCTTGCTGCCGGGATTGGGGGAGGAATGGGTGGGGTGGGGCAGTGAGAGACCTTGCTCGCAGGCTAGACCCGGGGAGGGTTTTGCTGCTCAACACAATTTTTTTTTTTTTTTCTTCTTACTTTTATGAAATTCTTGACTCAAAATAAGCACTTTTAGAAAAAGATGCATTGACGTAAGAAAAAACGGGGAAAAAAACGACGTGTGCGAAGAAACCAGCAAAATTTGTGATTATACAGTTGTCAATACTAATGGGAACAACTTCTCCACACTTTGAGACCCACAGGACGCTTTTTTCCCACATTCAACTTCGCGACCCTTTTCTTTAATGCAGTGCATAAACAGACCATGAAGTTCCAAACTGCTCTTCGTCTGAAGTTGGAGAATTTTCTTTATTGGTCATGGACCTTGGGTTACATTTAACAGCCTGATTTTAAGACTGGATTGAAATAGCTTGAATTAACCTTGCCTGCGAAAGAAACACGACCTGATGGAATTTCTAAACGTCAATAGGCCGGGCAAACAATGTTTGTTTGGTTCATCTTGTCAACTGCCTTTTGGGTCAAGTTCGAAACTGATGGAGATCTCCTGAAATGTCCCTGGGACTCTTGTGATGTCTCAAGTAAGAGGATGTAAGTATATTTCATTCTGGAAAAAACGTCTTTTACCTGCCGTAGGACACGCAGGATACCACTTCGTTTTGATCTTTCAGGCTGAGTTCATGATTCTATTACAAGTTTTCGGTCGCATCGATAGCATTTTAGTATGATTTACACTGCTACTTGCAGATTTCCTATTGCAATCAAAAGGGTAGCAGATTCAGGCTAGAGTACTGTAGTTGCCTAGTTAGAGAAAAACGCCGTTTTTCTTGATTTCGAAGCAAAGGGTCATATTGCTGGCTCCAAGTCTATTAAAAGTCCCATAACCTTCGCGTTTTTCATTTATAAGATCAATTTTGCTCGTTGCAGGAACACTTGTAAAAGGCGTGAGAATAACATGCATATTCTCCATACTCATTCCTTTACCGTTCATCTGGCGCTAACCAGGAGAATTTGATTAGAAATCACAATTTCTTTCGCTGCTGAGCAGTTTGCTCTATTTTCAGCCTTTTATGATTGATACTGTTCAGTGGTAGGATATATAGCCAGAATGTAAATTGATGTTGATCACTGTTAACCGTACAGAAACTGTTTCTTGTGATCACAACTGAAAGCAAACGCACCGACGGACATTTCAAGTATTTCAATATTATACAAAAGTTACGGCTAAAATCAAAATTGCCCGTCGGAAAAACGTGAAAGCGCTAAGTGCTTTTTTAAATGTACGAGCATTCCGAAAGATACAAGAATCCATTGAAAAGAAGCTTTCGCAAAGCCGAGAAGGCTACAGTTTCCATTATGTTTGGTAAACTTTGGTTTGTTTTGGTTCTTGGACCTGTGGGACCTCAGGGACCTCTGGGCCGAAGGCTCATGATGTCATTGTTTTTAACAGCCAATCAAGGGCAAGAATTTGATTTGCATATGAATAACATACAAAAAAACCATTGAATTCGTAACCGAGCCGGGATAGCGCAATTGGCATAAGCATTGAATTGGTAATTAATTGGCAAACAAAGAGGTGACGGGTTCGAGTCCCGCCTGATTAGCATAAAAAAAAAAAAAAAAAAAAAAAAAAGAGCGGCTTGGATCTGGGAGGGCTTGGGGCGAGGAGAGGGAAGATAAAAGGCCTTGGGAAGGGTATGGGAAGCGGGAGTTGGTACACCGGTCCGGGGGCGGGCCGGGGGAGGGCAGGGAGAGGGGGGCAGGTGGGAGGGGGTAGGTAGATAGGTAGATTGGTAGATTGAGGGCTAGGTAGATAGATAGATAGAGAGGTAGATAGATAGATAGATAGGTAGAGGTGGGTAGGTAGATAGGGAGATAGGTAGAGGGCGGAGGGATGGGAGGGGAAGGGAAGGAAGGGAAGAGAAGGGAGGGGAAGGGAGGGGAGGGGGTCTAGCCTGCGAGCAGGGTCTCTTGCTGCGGGGATGGGGGGGAGGAATGGGTGGGGTGGGGCAGTGAGAGACCTTGCTCGCAGGCTAGACCCGGGGAGGGTTTTGCTGCTCAACACAATTTTTTTTTTTCTTCTTACTTTTATGAAATTCTTGACTCAAAATAAGCACTTTTAGAAAAAGATGCATTGACGTAAGAAAAAACGGGGAAAAAAAACGACGTGTGCGAAGAAACCAGCAAAATTTGTGATTATACAGTTGTCAATACTAATGGGAACAACTTCCACACACTTTGAGACCCACAGGACGCTTTTTCCCACATTCAACTTCGCGACCCTTTTTTTTTTAATGCAGTGCATAAACAGACCATGAAGTTCCAAACTGCTCTTCGTCTGAAGTTGGAGAATTTTCTTTATTGGTCATGGACCTTGGGTTACATTTAACAGCCTGATTTTAAGACTGGATTGGAAATAGCTTGAATTAACCTTGCCTGCGAAAGAAACACGACCTGATGGAATTTCTAAACGTCAATAGGCCGGGCAAACAATGTTTGTTTGGTTCATCTTGTCAACTGCCTTTTGGGTCAAGTTCGAAACTGATGGAGATCTCCTGAAAATGTCCCTGGGACTCTTGTGATGTCTCAAGTAAGAGGATGTAAGTATATTTCATTCTGGAAAAAACGTCTTTTACCTGCCGTAGGACACGCAGGATACCACTTCGTTTTGATCTTTCAGGCTGAGTTCATGATTCTATTACAAGTTTTCGGTCGCATCGATAGCATTTTAGTATGATTTACACTGCTACTTGCAGATTTCCTATTGCAATCAAAAAGGGTAGCAGATTCAGGCTAGAGTACTGTAGTTGTTTAGTTAGAGAAAAAACGCCGTTTTTCTTGATTTCGAAGCAAAGGGTCATATTGCTGGCTCCAAGTCTATTAAAAGTCCCATAACCTTCGCGTTTTTCATTTATAAGATCAATTTTGCTCGTTGCAGGAACACTTGTAAAAGGCGTGAGAATAACATGCATATTCTCCATACTCATTCCTTTACCGTTCATCTGGCGCTAACCAGGAGAATTTGATTAGAAATCACAATTTCTTTTTCGCTGCTGAGCAGTTTGCTCTATTTTCAGCCTTTTATGATTGATACTGTTCAGTGGTAGGATATATAGCCAGAATGTAAATTGATGTTGATCACTGTTAACCGTACAGAAACTGTTTCTTGTGATCACAACTGAAAGCAAACGCACCGACGGACATTTCAAGTATTTCAATATTATACAAAAGTTACGGCTAAAATCAAAATTGCCCGTCGGAAAAACGTGAAAGCGCTAAGTGCTTTTTAAATGTACGAGCATTCCGAAAGATACAAGAATCCATTGAAAAGAAGCTTTCGCAAAGCCGAGAAGGCTACAGTTTCCATTATGTTTGGTAAACTTTGGTTTGTTTTGGTTCTTGGACCTGTGGGACCTCAGGGACCTCTGGGCCGAAGGCTCATGATGTCATTGTTTTTAACAGCCAATCAAGGGCAAGAATTTGATTTGCATATGAATAACATACAAAAAAACCATTGAATTCGTAACCGAGCCGGGATAGCGCAATTGGCATAAGCATTGAATTGGTAATTAATTGGCAAACAAAGAGGTGACGGGTTCGAGTCCCGCCTGATTAGCATAAAAAAGAAAAAAAAAAAAAAAAGAGAGCGGCTGGGATCTGGGAGGGCTTGGGGCGGGGAGAGGGAAGAAAAAGGGCGTGGGGAGGGGTGGGGGAGGGGGGGGTGGGTACCCGGGTCGGGGGGGGGGCGGGGGGGGGGGGGGGGGGGGGGGGCGGGGGGGAGGGGGGTAGGTAGATAGGTAGATTGGTAGATTGAGGGCTAGGTAGATAGATAGATAGAGAGGTAGATAGGTAGATAGGTAGAGGTGGGTAGGTAGATAGGGAGATAGGTAGAGGGCGGAGGGATGGGAGGGGAAGGGAAGGAAGGGAAGGGAAGGAAGGAAGGGAGGGGGGGTCTAGCCTGCGAGCAAGGTCTCTTGCTGCCGGGATTGGGGGGGGAATGGGGGGGGGGGGGCAGTGAGAGACCTTGCTCGCAGGCTAGACCCGGGGAGGGTTTTGCTGCTCAACACAATTTTTTTTTTTTCTTACTTTTATGAAATTCTTGACTCAAAATAAGCACTTTTAGAAAAAGATGCATTGACGTAAGAAAAAAACGGGGAAAAAAAAAACGACGTGTGCGAAGAAACCAGCAAAATTTGTGATTATACAGTTGTCAATACTAATGGGAACAACTTCTCCACACTTTGAGACCCACAGGACGCTTTTTTCCCACATTCAACTTCGCGACCCTTTTCTTTAATGCAGTGCATAAACAGACCATGAAGTTCCAAACTGCTCTTCGTCTGAAGTTGGAGAATTTTCTTTATTGGTCATGGACCTTGGGTTACATTTAACAGCCTGATTTTAAGACTGGATTGGAAATAGCTTGAATTAACCTTGCCTGCGAAAGAAACACGACCTGATGGAATTTCTAAACGTCAATAGGCCGGGCAAACAATGTTTGTTTGGTTCATCTTGTCAACTGCCTTTTGGGTCAAGTTCGAAACTGATGGAGATCTCCTGAAATGTCCCTGGGACTCTTGTGATGTCTCAAGTAAGAGGATGTAAGTATATTTCATTCTGGAAAAACGTCTTTTACCTGCCGTAGGACACGCAGGATACCACTTCGTTTTGATCTTTCAGGCTGAGTTCATGATTCTATTACAAGTTTTCGGTCGCATCGATAGCATTTTAGTATGATTTACACTGCTACTTGCAGATTTCCTATTGCAATCAAAAGGGTAGCAGATTCAGGCTAGAGTACTGTAGTTGCCTAGTTAGAGAAAAAACGCCCGTTTTTCTTGATTTCGAAAAGGGTCAGGGTCATATTGCTGGCTCCAAGTCTATTAAAAGTCCCATAACCTTCGCGTTTTTCATTTATAAGATCAATTTTGCTCGTTGCAGGAACACTTGTAAAAGGCGTGAGAATAACATGCATATTCTCCATACTCATTCCTTTACCGTTCATCTGGCGCTAACCAGGAGAATTTGATTAGAAATCACAATTTCTTTCGCTGCTGAGCAGTTTGCTCTATTTTCAGCCTTTTATGATTGATACTGTTCAGTGGTAGGATATATAGCCAGAATGTAAATTGATGTTGATCACTGTTAACCGTACAGAAACTGTTTCTTGTGATCACAACTGAAAGCAAACGCACCGACGGACATTTCAAGTATTTCAATATTATACAAAAGTTACGGCTAAAATCAAAATTGCCCGTCGGAAAAACGTGAAAGCGCTAAGTGCTTTTTTAAATGTACGAGCATTCCGAAAGATACAAGAATCCATTGAAAAGAAGCTTTCGCAAAGCCGAGAAGGCTACAGTTTCCATTATGTTTGGTAAACTTTGGTTTGTTTTGGTTCTTGGACCTGTGGGACCTCAGGGACCTCTGGGCCGAAGGCTCATGATGTCATTGTTTTTAACAGCCAATCAAGGGCAAGAATTTGATTTGCATATGAATAACATACAAAAAAACCATTGAATTCGTAACCGAGCCGGGATAGCGCAATTGGCATAAGCATTGAATTGGTAATTAATTGGCAAACAAAGAGGTGACGGGTTCGAGTCCCGCCTGATTAGCATAAAAAAGAAAAAAAAAAAAAAGAGCGCGGCTTGGATCTGGGAGGGCTTGGGGCGAGGAGAGGGAAGATAAAAGGCCTTGGGAAGGGTATGGGAAGCGGGAGTTGGTACACCGGCCCGGGGGCGGGCCGGGGGGAAGGGCAGGGAGAGGGGGCAGGTGGGAGGGGGGTAGGTAGATAGGTAGATTGGTAGATTGAGGGCTAGGTAGATAGATAGATAGAGAGGTAGATAGGTAGATAGGTAGAGGTGGGTAGGTAGATAGGGAGATAGGTAGAGGGCGGAGGGATGGGAGGGGAAGGGAAGGAAGGGAAGGGAAGGGAAGGGAAGGGAGGGGGGGTCTAGCCTGCGAGCAAGGTCTCTTGCTGCCGGGATTGGGGGAGGAATGGGTGGGGTGGGGCAGTGAGAGACCTTGCTCGCAGGCTAGACCCGGGAGGGTTTTGCTGCTCAACACAATTTTTTTTTCTTCTTACTTTTATGAAATTCTTGACTCAAAATAAGCACTTTTAGAAAAAGATGCATTGACGTAAGAAAAAAACGGGGAAAAAAACGACGTGTGCGAAGAAACCAGCAAAATTTGTGATTATACAGTTGTCAATACTAATGGGAACAACTTCTCCACACTTTGAGACCCACAGGACGCTTTTTCCCACATTCAACTTCGCGACCCTTTTTTCTTTAATGCAGTGCATAAACAGACCATGAAGTTCCAAACTGCTCTTCGTCTGAAGTTGGAGAATTTTTTTTATTGGTCATGGACCTTGGGTTACATTTAACAGCCTGATTTTAAGACTGGATTGGAAATAGCTTGAATTAACCTTGCCTGCGAAAGAAACACGACCTGATGGAATTTCTAAACGTCAATAGGCCGGGCAAACAATGTTTGTTTGGTTCATCTTGTCAACTGCCTTTTGGGTCAAGTTCGAAACTGATGGAGATCTCCTGAAATGTCCCTGGGACTCTTGTGATGTCTCAAGTAAGAGGATGTAAGTATATTTCATTCTGGAAAAAACGTCTTTTACCTGCCGTAGGACACGCAGGATACCACTTCGTTTTGATCTTTCAGGCTGAGTTCATGATTCTATTACAAGTTTTCGGTCGCATCGATAGCATTTTAGTATGATTTACACTGCTACTTGCAGATTTCCTATTGCAATCAAAAGGGTAGCAGATTCAGGCTAGAGTACTGTAGTTGCCTAGTTAGAGAAAAAAACGCCGTTTTTCTTGATTTCGAAGCAAAGGGTCATATTGCTGGCTCCAAGTCTATTAAAAGTCCCATAACCTTCGCGTTTTTCATTTATAAGATCAATTTTGCTCGTTGCAGGAACACTTGTAAAAGGCGTGAGAATAACATGCATATTCTCCATACTCATTCCTTTACCGTTCATCTGGCGCTAACCAGGAGAATTTGATTAGAAATCACAATTTCTTTCGCTGCTGAGCAGTTTGCTCTATTTTCAGCCTTTTATGATTGATACTGTTCAGTGGTAGGATATATAGCCAGAATGTAAATTGATGTTGATCACTGTTAACCGTACAGAAACTGTTTCTTGTGATCACAACTGAAAGCAAACGCACCGACGGACATTTCAAGTATTTCAATATTATACAAAAGTTACGGCTAAAATCAAAATTGCCCGTCGGAAAAACGTGAAAGCGCTAAGTGCTTTTTTAAATGTACGAGCATTCCGAAAGATACAAGAATCCATTGAAAAGAAGCTTTCGCAAAGCCGAGAAGGCTACAGTTTCCATTATGTTTGGTAAACTTTGGTTTGTTTTGGTTCTTGGACCTGTGGGACCTCAGGGACCTCTGGGCCGAAGGCTCATGATGTCATTGTTTTTAACAGCCAATCAAGGGCAAGAATTTGATTTGCATATGAATAACATACAAAAAAAAACCATTGAATTCGTAACCGAGCCGGGATAGCGCAATTGGCATAAGCATTGAATTGGTAATTAATTGGCAAACAAAGAGGTGACGGGTTCGAGTCCCGCCTGATTAGCATAAAAAAAAAAAAAAAAAAAAAAGAGAGCGCGGCTTGGATCTGGGAGGGCTTGGGGCGAGGAGAGGGAAGATAAAAGGCCTTGGGAAGGGTATGGGAAGCGGGAGTTGGTACACCGGTCCGGGGGCGGGCCGGGGGGAGGGCAGGGAGAGGGGGCAGGTGGGAGGGGGGTAGGTAGATAGGTAGATTGGTAGATTGAGGGCTAGGTAGATAGATAGATAGAGATAGGTAGATAGGTAGATAGGTAGAGGTGGGTGGGTAGATAGGGAGATAGGTAGAGGGCGGAGGGATGGGAGGGGAAGGAAGGGAAGGGAAGGGAAGGAAGGGAGGGAGGGGGTCTAGCCTGCGAGCAAGGTCTCTTGCTGCCGGGATTGGGGGAGGAATGGGTGGGGTGGGGCAGTGAGAGACCTTGCTCGCAGGCTAGACCCGGGGAGGGTTTTGCTGCTCAACACAATTTTTTTTTTTCTTACTTTTATGAAATTCTTGACTCAAAATAAGCACTTTTAGAAAAAGATGCATTGACGTAAGAAAAAAAACGGGGAAAAAAAACGACGTGTGCGAAGAAACCAGCAAAATTTGTGATTATACAGTTGTCAATACTAATGGGGAACAACTTCTCCACACTTTGAGACCCACAGGACGCTTTTTTCCCACATTCAACTTCGCGACCCTTTTTCTTTAATGCAGTGCATAAACAGACCATGAAGTTCCAAACTGCTCTTCGTCTGAAGTTGGAGAATTTTCTTTATTGGTCATGGACCTTGGGTTACATTTAACAGCCTGATTTTAAGACTGGATTGGAAATAGCTTGAATTAACCTTGCCTGCGAAAGAAACACGACCTGATGGAATTTCTAAACGTCAATAGGCCGGGCAAACAATGTTTGTTTGGTTCATCTTGTCAACTGCCTTTTGGGTCAAGTTCGAAACTGATGGAGATCTCCTGAAATGTCCCTGGGACTCTTGTGATGTCTCAAGTAAGAGGATGTAAGTATATTTCATTCTGGAAAAACGTCTTTTACCCGCCGTAGGACACGCAGGATACCACTTCGTTTTGATCTTTCAGGCTGAGTTCATGATTCTATTACAAGTTTTCGGTCGCATCGATAGCATTTTAGTATGATTTACACTGCTACTTGCAGATTTCCAATTGCAATCAAAAGGGTAGCAGATTCAGGCTAGAGTACTGTAGTTGCCTAGTTAGAGAAAAACGCCGTTTTTCTTGATTTCGAAGCAAAGGGTCATATTGCTGGCTCCAAGTCTATTAAAAGTCCCATAACCTTCGCGTTTTTCATTTATAAGATCAATTTTGCTCGTTGCAGGAACACTTGTAAAAGGCGTGAGAATAACATGCATATTCTCCATACTCATTCCTTTACCGTTCATCTGGCGCTAACCAGGAGAATTTGATTAGAAATCACAATTTCTTTCGCTGCTGAGCAGTTTGCTCTATTTTCAGCCTTTTATGATTGATACTGTTCAGTGGTAGGATATATAGCCAGAATGTAAATTGATGTTGATCACTGTTAACCGTACAGAAACTGTTTCTTGTGATCACAACTGAAAGCAAACGCACCGACGGACATTTCAAGTATTTCAATATTATACAAAAGTTACGGCTAAAATCAAAATTGCCCGTCGGAAAAACGTGAAAGCGCTAAGTGCTTTTTTAAATGTACGAGCATTCCGAAAGATACAAGAATCCATTGAAAAGAAGCTTTCGCAAAGCCGAGAAGGCTACAGTTTCCATTATGTTTGGTAAACTTTGGTTTGTTTTGGTTCTTGGACCTGTGGGACCTCAGGGACCTCTGGGCCGAAGGCTCATGATGTCATTGTTTTTAACAGCCAATCAAGGGCAAGAATTTGATTTGCATATGAATAACATACAAAAAAAACCATTGAATTCGTAACCGAGCCGGGATAGCGCAATTGGCATAAGCATTGAATTGGTAATTAATTGGCAAACAAAGAGGTGACGGGTTCGAGTCCCGCCTGATTAGCATAAAAAAAAAAAAAAAAGAGCGGGCTTGATCTGGGAGGGCTTGGGGCGAGGAGAGGGAAGATAAAAGGCCTTGGGAAGGGTATGGGAAGCGGGAGTTGGTACACCGGTCCGGGGGCGGGCCGGGGGAGGGGCAGGGAGAGGGGCAGGTGGGAGGGGGGGTAGGTAGATAGGTAGATTGGTAGATTGAGGGCTAGGTAGATAGATAGATAGAGAGGTAGATAGGTAGATAGGTAGAGGGTGGGGTAGGGTGGGTGGGTAGATAGGGAGATAGGTAGAGGGCGGAGGGATGGGAGGGGAAGGAAGGGAAGGGAAGGGAAGGGAAGGGAAGGGAGGAGGGGTCTAGCCTGCGAGCAAGGTCTCTTGCTGCCGGGATTGGGGGAGGAATGGGTGGGGTGGGGCAGTGAGAGACCTTGCTCGCAGGCTAGACCCGGGGAGGGTTTTGCTGCTCAACACAATTTTTTTTTTTTTCTTCTTACTTTTATGAAATTCTTGACTCAAAATAAGCACTTTTAGAAAAAGATGCATTGACGTAAGAAAAAAAACGGGGAAAAAAACGTGTGCGAAGAAACCAGCAAAATTTGTGATTATACAGTTGTCAATACTAATGGGAACAACTTCTCCACACTTTGAGACCCACAGGACGCTTTTTTTCCCACATTCAACTTCGCGAGTTAGTCCCTTTTCTTTTTTTTAATGCAGTGCATAAACAGACCATGAAGTTCCAAACTGCTCTTCGTCTGAAGTTGGAGAATTTTCTTTATTGGTCATGGACCTTGGGTTACATTTAACAGCCTGATTTTAAGACTGGATTGGAAATAGCTTGAATTAACCTTGCCTGCGAAAGAAACACGACCTGATGGAATTTCTAAACGTCAATAGGCCGGGCAAACAATGTTTGTTTGGTTCATCTTGTCAACTGCCTTTTGGGTCAAGTTCGAAACTGATGGAGATCTCCTGGAAATGTCCCTGGTACTCTCTTGATGTCTCAAGTAAGAGGATGTAACTATACCTGGATTTTTGAAAACTGGGTTGCAAAACTATCAACTCATTCTAGTACTTGGTAATTTAAAATAACAAAACTCATTTAAGGGCCGATTAAAATCCTTTATCTGACGCCAGGCAGTAAGTTAATGGTCCCCAGAAGAATTCCCCGGGGGTACTCCCTAATATGGGCTATATAGGTATGTGCGGCCCTAAAGGGTAGGGTTTTTCAGCCGTTTTGGTCATAAATTGGGTATCGATTTTTGCACTGTAGTCTTGAATGCACTTTTTTAGAAGAAGCTAGTTCCTTATCATGTCCCCCTCCTTCCATCCGCGCTTTGCCTTCCTCCCCACCGGCTGCTTTGTAGGCTAGAAAATACAGGCAACAAAAGCCCTTCACAAAATAGGGTATCAAATTTTTGGTTAGGTCATAAATAGGGTAGGGAAAATCGCAGATTTTGGTCATAAATAGGATAAGGGTTTTGGGAAGCGGGCCGCACACTCCTACCCAATTTTTCTGCGAGTACCCCCCCGGGAAGAATTCCAACGAGTCGAAATTTCAAAGGACGCAAATTTTAGAACATTTATTCAGGAAACTGATCTTGCGAAGTTTCAAACCGTTGTCATTTCGGTCTAGAAATTTTTAACTTGAGAGTGAACTGCAGCGAAAGAGTGCCTGGTTAAGGCTTACATAACAACTTAAATAGTTAGCAAAACACTACTTTTTTCGCGGTCGGATAAACAACAGGATTCCGTATGGAATAGACAACAAACGGAATGAAAAAACATAGTGCACAAATTATCGCCTTCTTATCTGCAAAACCGGCCTATGGTGCAATTCCATTAGAGCCCGCTGAAACTAGACCTAGATCCAATCTTCTGAGTCGAAAGTTGCTTTTCCAAGGTACAATCAGCTAAGCTAAACACCGACGAAACAACATTAATAGCTGGCACAGAATATTTTGGCGAAACCGCAGTTCAACCACGCGATCACATACCTGTCAACACCATGCGGAAATCACGCAATCATACACTTTCGCGGCCCTGATAAGACTATCCACAACCACGCATAATCTTCTCACGTTTAACATAAGCGAAATATCATCGAATAACTCGGAAAAACTCAGCCTATTGCCAGATAAACACCTCTGGACTTTTCTCTTACACTAGTCTTATTCAAGTTCCCGGATGTAGAGTCACACGGTCGGCGGATCACCTTAGCCTGGTTTTCACACCAGAAAAAAACTAAGTCTTGGCCCGGGTCAATGTTCACTGGCAATTTGGCTCTCACCTAATTCATTTGACTCCTAAGAGCCTGTTCCCGAGGCCAAAGACTTAGTGGTCACCTTAGAAAAGCGAACAATATCGTACCTTTCTGTCTCAGCCCGGAACAGGGTGATTGATCCGTTTAGCGAAATGAAACGAGAATATAATACGATATTGGACGATGCAGACTCTGCGAATCGTAATAACTTTGTCCCATCTCAGAGCTTTACATGATGCTCTCCGGGAAACTTTTCTCAAGGTGACCAATATATAAAACTAAACTGCTAAACAGGACCGAAACTAGCTTTTGGAGCGCGGATTTCAAATAACTGTCACTTGTGTTAAAGAAAGAATTGTGGGTAGAGTGAAAAAATCGGGGAGGGGGGAGAGGGCTTAAAATAGTAATTTTGTCTACATCCACTTCTACCCAAATCCCTAACCACAAAACAAGCAAAAAAACAAAAGACATAAGCAAGCAACAAAGTAAACATATGTCAAGCTATTAGACACGGGAAGTTGAGAAAAATTACAAAATGTTTGCTACCCCGGTTTTCATAACTCCAGGTAGAAGTATATTTCATTCTGGAAAAAGCGCCTTTCACCTGCCGTAGGACACGCAGGATATCACCTCGTTTTGATCTTTCAGGCTGATTTCATGATTCTATTACAAGCTTTTGGTCGCATCTGTAGCATTTTAGTACAAGGCAACGGCAGACAGTTGTTCTTTACAATCCTTCGCTATTATTAAAAACACTGGACACGGGAATTTTGTTTTTGGCCGTTTTCACACTACAGCTAGAAATTTATTATCCGTCTGAGACTAGCCTTTGTAAAGCCGCCCCCTCCCCCACAGAAACCCTTCTCCGATTTTTTTCTGAGGGGAGGGGGTGGCTGTACACAGACAATCTGAAATGGATAATCCATCTTCAAACTGTCCGTCAAAATTGACGGATAAATCAGGCAGATTGTTCATTCAAATTTAATACCATATCCATTTTTCAAATTAACACTTTTCACTTATCTGACGCGAATTATCAAACGGATAACCCGTCTCACACGAATAATCCGTCTCAAGTGTTAAAACAGCCATGCATTTCTGTTAAAAATGAATGTCGCGCCCCGGCCTTAAGTTGGGCGTTCGCGTGTCAGCTTTTCCTTTTTACAGAGATTATTTTAAATTGACCATTGAAATTTCTATGCGTATAATAATATTAGAAGTGAAATACTTTATAAAATTAAAAGTTTGATCTATCAAATGTTAAATTTTTTTCAAAAGAATAGCTTATTTCATCCCGAGATGATCCAAAGACCTTTATTTTTCTTTTGAAGATAGAAAACTTTTTTAAACAAAGAAATTAATTTTTAACTTTTTTGTTAACCGTAAATGAAAAAAAAATTACCCGATAACCGTAATAGAGCCAAAATTTTAGCCGATAACCAAGCCACCACTCCATTGAGACCGTTAAATTTGCATACCTGCTGGTCACGTGAGCGAAAAGGCTCCATCAACGACTAGGACTGGGGGAGACTGGCACGATAAATTTACGAGTCCGCTGTTCCTAGCACTGTCTCTCCTCCGCAGAGGCCTCTTTGTATTGTGGGGAGGCTTTTGTGTTGTGGGGAGGCCATCAAAAAGACGATGGAAAGGGGAAGAGAGGGAGACGTTCCCCGCGCGCTTTCTATTATTGTCGATTATTGATATTTTGATGGGGATACCGAGCGGGAGCCTCTGCTTTCCCTCTTCCCATCGTTCCCCGCGCGCTTTCTATTATTGTCGATTATTGATATTTTGATGGGGATACCGAGCGGGAGCCTCTGCGGAGGAGAGAGAGCACTGTCTAAATCTTGTCCGATCTTGTTCACGTAGATGAACAGTAAACATGCATTATCCCGGATAATTTCAGTTGCATTTTAACTTCAATTTCTCATGATGATGTTATGTAAAGAACTAATTAGTTCAATGCTGTTCTCGCTAATAGCTGGAACCAAAGTAGACGTTGTTAATGTTTTGTTGGATGCCAGTAGCGTTGTTGGTCCGTTGCAACACTTCTGGGAAAACACTGGATTCTGCCCTCCAGATCCTCACCAAGACTTCCAAAAATTCATCTTTACAAACGATGAAATGCAGAACTTGGCGTACATTGGCTCTGTACCTAAAAAGGGAATAAAACAAGTGCGAATTCATTGGCTGTTAGACCTGATTTCTATGGAAAGAACAGTTGATCAGAACGTTGTCTACAACTTTACGTATCTGGACAACGCAATTAAGCTGCTTGTTGACAATGGCTTACGGCCTGGATTTGAACTGATGGGAAATCCATCTAACTTCTTTTCAGATTTCGATGACGTTCAACAAATATATGCTTGGAGAGGTCTTGTAGCAGCCCTAGGAAAACATCTGATAGGTGCTGTAACCAAACCTTTATCCAGTTCATCAATCAATCAATCAATCAATCAAACTAGAAACTGATTTAACTACGCTAGCCACACACTAGCCTGCAAAAACATCCGTTTCTGCTCGCTCTTCGTCGCTGAGGGCGTTTCGCACAGAGGAACGTCTGTGACTCAGTGACAGAAATTCTATACTGATGACACAAAATCAATGTTTACATAATAAATCCCATAGTCATGGGGTTCCAGATATAAATTTGTCTAATTTTGCGTGTCTTCTGGTCGATTTTGGTAAAGTGTTGTGTTGATCTGCCCACGAGCTGCAGCAAAACTCAAATGCTTCTTTTAGAGAAGACTATATTCCACAAATATTGACTGTTTTGTTAGAGATTCTGCGTGTTTACTTTTGACCTTTTTGGCCTTTTGTCTTTTGTCTTTTGTCTGTCATTTGTAAACAATAGCTAAAACAATGTAACTGGTCCGTCGACCAATCAGCACTTCTGACTGGATTCTGGACAGATTTTACGTCATCGGTATGGAATTTCTGTCGCTGAGTCGCAGACATTCCTCCGCGCGAAACGTCCTCAGCGACAAAGAGTGAGGAGAAATGGATGTTTTCGCAGGCTAGCCACACACAACAAAAGCTTATTTCCAAGTGGGGCGTAGGCAAACACACATTATTGATTTAGTGGTTTGCCCAATATTGTATGTTACAACATTTTGATAGTAGTTAAGAAATAGTTACAATATTGAACAGGAAGTCTCAAGGGGCATAACCAGCATTTTTGCATAGAGGGGGTCCTAATGTGGTATTTTTGTCTAGATTGACAATCAATCTTCGGAGGGTTTCTCGGAAAATTTTATACTTTAGTCCTCAGAAATCCCGTTTTGTGATTCTGAGCACAAATTTCCAATGACAGCAGTGCCAAATGAAGCTAGCTTTTTTCACTTCCAGTGAAGAGATAGTGTGATAGACTTTATAATGTTTATGTTGTGGATCGTTAATTTTTTATCTCAGGTAATTTTTGTTTTTCTTTTGTTTTTGGGTATAGAAATGTATACTAATGCAGTTGAAACAAAAGAAAAATAAAAATTCCCTGAGACAAAAAATTAACTACAACATATATGTTGATAATCGTTGAATACGTTAAAAGACACACTGTAGTCCTGTGATTTGCCGTTTACTCAGTTAGGGTATTAGCAAGAAGGAGACATCATGGATGCTTCTGTGCAAAGGTGTCGATTGTTGGCCTTAGGGCCAATTTGCATAATGCAATGTTCCTCAGAGCAAGTGCAGCGGACTCTCGCTTCAGTCATGGTTGCCGACAAGTACTTTTTAAGTCTGCACAATGTGCTAAGCCATCTCATTTTCTTTAACAGCGACAATCTCATTGAAATTATAGCCAGTGCCGCAGGCCAAGGAAGGGTTCCAGAACCCCTGGAACCCTCCCTTGGCTATGCCACTGGTCTCAGATGACTTTCTGGGCTTATCCAGGAGACTCCCTGCCAATTTGCATCAATTTTATTTGATGACATAGATGATTTTGGCCAGGACTTAAGGTTTAACATCATCAATACAAAAATAAATAGAAGCAATATGGTTTTCACTGTTGGAACAAGTAAACAGTGATGAATAAGAAAGTGGAGCCCGCTTATCCTGTTTTTAAGATAAAGATGGGGGCCAGTTTTAAAATTAACTTTTCTTGGCCCTGAGGATCTCAGTTTGGGCTGAAAGTAAGTGGGGGCCTGTTCCCCCCTCTTGCTTAGGCCCCTCCTCTTGATCTGCCACTGTTAAATTTTTATGGCAGATATTAAAATACTGTAAGATCCCAAAGAGAGCTTATGTTTTCTTCAAATTTTAAAGAAAGTCAGGGAGTATTTTAGCCAAGGTGAGGGCCAGTGCCTTGTAAATGGTTTGGTGTGTATTGCAAAGGTTATTGAATGCTGACCTTATCTTAGGGGAAAAATTGAAAATCAACACCCCTTTTAAGGCACATAAACAGAAAATGGTGAAACATTATTTCATGCTATTTGGTTCAAACAGGTTGTTTTTTGTTTCTTTTCTTTACCTGGACATTCATAAAGCTAGAATTTGAGGGTAAACATGGTTCCAAGATTTGGTTAATGTTAAGTATATCAGATGTAGTTTAGTTTCAGGTGTTTACAGTGGATCAGGTCCTGTACTTTCAGGTGCCATATATCAAAGGACCACTATCCTGAAAGATACCCCATTTAAGGACTGAGCATCTTGCAAACTGGGTTTATAGCGTAAATATAGGGTTGTCCCAGGACCAATTATCATTGTGACATCGTATGGTAGTGTCATGTTACATAATAATAATTATTATTGTTATTATTATTATTATTATTATTATTATTATTATTATTATTATTATCATTATTACTCATAAGATTAGCAAAAGCCAAGCAATTAGCTTTTGACTTTCAGTTAGTCAGTCAGTCAGTCAGTCGGTCTGTCTCAGTTATTCAGTAGGTAAAACTCTAGGTGACCAATTATAAAGACAACTTCTGGTTCTAATAAAGACCAGTTAATTAAAGGGCAGCTTACTTAAGTTTCCTTCTTCTTTATAAGGCTTAGTGTACTTTACTGTCAACTCCCTCCTAACAGACACCTCTTTGTGGTCGCATTCCTAAAATAGACTCTTAGAGTTAATCCATGCTGTTTTCCTTTCATTTTCTCTTATATTCTCTCTGTAACTGGCCCGCAGCTCTCTAAGATGATAACCTTTAGGTGATTCTGAGAGGTGGCTGTATGAGGGAGAGTTGACTCTATTTTTATCTTTTCATCTCTGTGCAAGTTGCATAATTTAATTTGTAGGAATCTTTTTTAAATTGACCATTCTGCTGTTGTGATAGGGAATGTGTTTGCAATATCAATTGCCTAAAAGCAAAGAATTATCTATGCATTATTTTCTTAATTTTCTGAAGAGGTCTTTGGTGTAAAAGAAGTATCAGAGTGGAATTTTGAATCTTGGAATGAACCAGAGAATGAAAAGCATTTTGATGGTCTGCATGTGTCGACTGAAGGATTCCTTCGGTATTATGATGCATGTTCTGAGGGACTTAAAATGGCCCATCCTTCTTTGCGCCTTGGAGGACCAGCAACAGGGCACCCAAGCACTGCTCCAATATTTTGGGTATGTTTAATTTTTACTTGTGCATCACTTTTACTATAATAAGTTATTGTTTTTCCATTTTTAGTGCAGGAAGCTGTGGACCCTCCAATTGTGGATTAACCAAATATAACTTGGGTCTCATCTGGTCCCGTGCCAGGCTGCCCTTTTCCCACAAACCTTGAAGACAGTACGTATTGATCGTCTCGGTTACAACTTGTGAGGTTGTTACATAAGTTAGAGTGTCTTTTATTCCCACCAACTGAGACAAGGCCATGGGACAAGGCTGATTTGGGTCTGTAATTGTCCTTTTTAATTTCAACTGACGGCTGTTTGATCATTTTTGGTTCCTAACAATAAACTAGTGCATCAAACCCTTTTTTTCTGTACTTTACTACTGTCTCTACATGTTGGGTTACTTGATTATTGTGTGACTTCGTCATATAATAAACTAATTGTATTTCTTTAAGATTTTATTATTTACTCCATTTGGTTTTAGAATAAGCCAGCTTCTGGTTAATAACTTCTTTCGTTTCAGACTGTCATCACTACAAATATATACATTTGTTGTGTATATTGATCTATATTGTGTTACTTAGTCATGTATATTAAATAAATTATTGTATTTCTTTGTTATGTAATTATTTACTCTATTTGGTTTCAAAATAAACTATTTTCTGGTTAAAAACGTTTTTTGTTTCACACTGTCGTTACCATAAAAGACTTAAAGCTAAAAGACAATTAAAATATTTTTTTTGGTAAAAACTGTGGCTTAAACAGAGCCGTACTTCAAAGTCTGTTATGTTATATTATATAGCTGCCTTCTGCATTTGTGGGTAAGATGATCATGAAACAAAGCAAGTCCTGTGTCCCAGTTGGCTACTCTGTGCAGACAAGATGGGTCTTTCTTGCTTGCTATGGACTGCATAGACTATATAGTAATTGTTCAGTCATGATTGTTGATTGTCGGACGCGATCCTTTATTTTGTGCATTTTTATGGACCAAGATAGAAAAACAAAAACAAAAACAAAACTTGGCCAATATTCAGCCATCTTGATCTCATTCTTGGTAAATAATACCTATAGATGTATTGAAATGTTTTCTAAAAGTGTGATTTTATTTATTGTTACTTTGTAGACTTTGCTGCAGCACTGTTACAATGGAACTAACTTCTTTACTGGTGACAGAGGGGTAAGGCTTGACTTTGTGTCATTTCACATCAAAGGCCAGGGACACTCTATGACCATTTTACATGATGAATATGTGACCCAAGAGGAAATGGCACAAAGGTTTCCTAAGTACAAGAATGTACCAGTGTACAATGATGAGGGAGATCCACTTGTTGGATGGAGCAAAACTGAAGACTGGAGAGCAGATGCAACATATGCAGCTATTGTTGTCAAGGTAAGGAACTTGATATAAGCTATAGAATACTGTAACAGAACAGCCTAAAAGAAATCATGATCTTGTAGTTAGATGCAACACCTTCACAAATGAATCAAGGCAAAACAACCTTTAAAGGTACGCTTTCTTGAAGAGATGGGTTTTAAGTTGACTTTTAAAGGCATTGATGTCGGCAGCCTTTCTTAAAGAATTTGGTAGCTCATTCCAAAGCCTTGGTCCAGGGATGGGAAACGCCCTACCTCCGTAAGTCACAGTTCTAAATCTCGGAACACTTAAAAGAACGAAGGAGTGAACTAAGGCTTCAGCAGAACCTTGATCTAAGAATTTTGTAACGTTCCCTATGTTTCGAAGATGGTGTTGGAAGGTTTTACATATCATACCTATGAGTTTATCCATTGCCATATCCTGGTCAAGTATCACTCCCAAATTTCTCACAAAGGGCTGGTGACTAATAGTTTCAACTCGTACTTGAATGGAAGTGACTACTGGCCGTCATCGATACTTGGAGCTTATAACCAGCTCTGTTTTATCCTCCTTAAGCTTCAGCTTGTTATTAGTCATCCATTTGTCAATATCCAGGACACAGCATTCAACCCTAGACCTGAACAGGCCTGCATCTACATCAGATTTGGTCTTAAAGGATACATATAATTGTGTCGTCAGCATAGAAGTGGTACTTTAAAGAGACTTAATGATGTCAGCAACGGGAGCAGTGTATAATACATAAAGTAGACGGCCCAAGACCGTCCCTCGAGGAAACCAACGTGTTAAGATTCGGTAGTCGACTTACTGCCCTCGACTTGGACATAGTACTTACGAGATTTTAGATAGGACTCGAACAAAGCAAGGGCCGTACCACTGACACCAAATCGGTCTGATAACCTAGATAACAGAACAGAATCAACTATTCTGGGACCTAACTGCAACAAGTTATCAAATGTTAGACATTTTATCATTTTCGGATCGGGAGAAACCTTCACCTCCTTCAAAAAAATAATAAATAACACTGCCAACTTCTCGGGCGTAAAAAAGTACGATGAAACTTTCTACGGATCAAGGGCGAAAATTAGTTGCTTTAAAACCTTGGCCTTGGGCCTGTGTTGCTCAAACCTTGTAGCCACGTCACTTTTGCTATTACAGCTAGCTCATACTTTAAATCTCCCATTGATAATGACAGCGAAGACTTTATTTCATTTGGATCCTTGGTAAACTCATCGCAGTACATGCTTGTAGCTTAAGGTATTTATCAAATGACAATTTTTTTGCTATTAGATACTGGCACAGCATCAAGAGATGTTATTAAAACATAACTTCAGTATCAGGTACAATATTTAACCGTTTAAGTCCCTACCTTGTGAGCAGAGGTTTCTTTCTTGTATGGCTTTTAGCGTTTACGGAATCCTTCGCGTGGCAAAAAACGACAGGAGAAGAGCAGAAGAGCAATCTGCTGACTTCGTTTATTTGATTCTCGCTTAGATCGTAAATGAATTCTGTCGATGGTAAAAAATAGCGTTTAGGACATGCTTTAGGAGCTATGTCCTATAGGTGTAACATTATTTAGACACTGTATCTCCTCAGTTCAATGAAAAGAAAAACTTCCAAATCGTTCTGCTGTGACTCTGAAGTTTTTTATTTTTCGAAGTCCAAAAAATTCTCACTTCGTAATAACTCAAATTTAAAGTAGTGACTGAACGTGTCTCGGAATAACTGTTATTCTTACTCTTTCCAGATACAGCCTACTTAGTAACGATAATGGGTTTATTGGTTATCCTCCGTCTTACTTCCGTCAACGCACACTGTTAGCTCGATTCCAAATGAACCACTCTCATCCCAGAAAGGTTGAATTTGTGAAGAAACCTGTTCTTAGTGCAATGGGACTGCTGGCTCTGTTAGGCGATCAACAAATCAAAAGCCTTGTTACAACTCACAATAGTGACAACGATGTTGGAGTAATGGCATCTGTTCGGAAGCCTCAAATGTACTCTGACATTACTGATTGGGAATTGGTAGCCATCCTGTACAACAGCAATGACACATCAGGGAGAACTGCTATTTCACAAGTGATCGTGTCCGTAGTGAATTTACCAGTAAAAGAGGATTTAGTTTTTGTCGTATACAAGCTGGATAATGCCCATAGTAATCCATATCAGTTGTGGAAAGAGATGGGATCGCCTGTGTTTCCTAGTGATGATCAGTTTAATGAGCTTCGTCGTCACCAGGTGAAAAAACCATGGTAGTTATTACTTATGCCGGGCGTTTTTATTCCACTAAAAACAAAACGGACTTCTTGATGTTTCGGAAACTATATATTGAGTAGTGTGCTGGTGTGGGTTTTGTTCAGTGTTTTCAGTCCCGCTTTTGGTTATGTTATTTGGTGATTGTACCCGTCCGCAACACCAAGACACCCCAAGAATAATTTCTAATTTTCCAAACTTTGGAAATATGAAAATTAGCATCAAATTATTAGCATTTTCGGGTATATCCAGTTTAGTACCCAGGCGTTCGATCCCTTACCGGTCACGCGAAATTTGTCACATGCCGTCAGCATTTACAAGTCCCACGCCGCGAGAAGAGAACGCTTAACGCCTTACGCCTGACGGCTAACTAGAAAAAGCGTCTTTTTTGAAAGTTTCAACTAGTCGAACCAAGTACTTGATCGTTCGACAGCATTTTTTTTAGTCGCAAGATGTACCTTTTAATTCTTTTAATTGACAGAATAGACAGACTGCAGCTAAGCTCGTCAATTTTCCTTTACTCGTAGCTCGATACTCAACTCGCAACTCTTAACGCGCAACCCCCAACTCCCATTTCCACATTCTCACATTCTAGGCGCACCCGTTTTGATATTGTTTCGAATTGTCACAACATTGTTTAGATATTGATTCGAACAGTTCCAACATCGGTAACATTGTTACAACAGTTTTTACCCTAAGGAACGTCGGTACATGCAGATGGTCTCCTGCCTCGTCAACCCGGGTATCCAGTGTCGATGAATATCTCTCGTACTGTGTCCTGCGTAGTGTGCTTCCACTTCTTTCAAATTTGCTAGTCAGTACAGCTGATTTATGGATTTTCCGTAGACAAATGCCGTACTCTTTGCTGCTTCTTGCCGTGCATTATAATACGATAATGTACCTACACTGTTGTTTCTTTTTAAATCATTTTAGGAGCCTGTCAGAACCATTGGTCCCAGTAGTCTATCATCAAATCCATTCAATATATCACTGAATGTTCCATTGCCAGGAATAAGTTTGATGCATGTCTGTGCAAAGACTACAGCACCTCCTCCTAAGGTGATTAATAACAGTGTTTATTTAGTGAATAGTGCTCCTTATTTGTCTGCGTATGTTATCTATAACGGTAACCGGCTTAGGGATCTACAATCCGCTTTCCGTTTTCCCTCTTCGCCTGCTACCAGCCATTCAGTGGAAATTTTTCTTTTACTTGCAAAATAGGTTTTCTACAGAACACCGATTAGAAACCTTTTAAACGTCTCTCTAAAACGGACGGATGTTTGAAAACGGGCTAGTTAACCGTTTAATTCTTTTAAAGTTGTTTAACGGATGCAGGTTTTTCAAGAACATCTTGGACAACTGTTCAAATGGTCAAATTAGAAGGCTTTTTAAAAGAAGATTGAAACGGATACTCTGAGTTTTCCATTTGAAACGATAAAGCCTTTGTGTGCGCATTTTTTCAGTTATAGTTCCTCTAAACCTCCTTTCTCTCCTAGCGGAGATGTTTTGCAAAGGTCTCCATCAGGGACATTTTGGTAAGGTCATCGGTCAGAATTTGTCGCGCCCCGCGCTTGTTCTTGTGGTCGACGTATCGTCAAGTCTATTTGATTTTGTCAAGATACTTTTAATCAACGTCCAAAATAGTCGCATTTCATGGCAAAATAGCACGGATTCAAGTGCGCGTTTCTTAAAAACTGCATGGTCTCCTCCGTATTTTTACTAAATCCTTTAATAGTAAACCATAGTACACGGAGCAGGTCATTAATCCCAGCGTTTGCGTACATGATTTGCTTTGTGTGCACAGGTTGTAGGTATTAGACTGATCACTGTGTCTTCTTACGAGGTGTTAGTGACGTGGACAGATGTGCCATCAAGGTAACAATTGTCAGTTTTATTCTTCACTGTAACTATAACTTCAACTGTAATAGTGAAACCACAATGCCCAAAACTTGATGGAAAGCGCTAAAAACTGCAGATTCGGCTTTTTCAAAGCATTTTATGGATGTTCTTGTTAAAGTTTAACTAAACGGACTTTGGAGGACAGACAGGGAGCAGTATGCAAGATCAAATGCTGCAACTGCCAGGTCACTAACATTGGTGAAACCGGCAGAAACCTTGGCACGCGACTGACTGAACATAAACGAGTGACAAGAAATGGTGACGTCAACAATCACGTTGCTGAACTCCATTTACAGGCGAAACATCAAATCGACTTGGACTCTGCAACATGTATTATTTATTCTACAGTCTACTCTCAACGACTTACTTTAGAGCCCTGGTTTACTAACTTAGAGCAAATGCCCCTGAATCGTAGTCAACAGTTACCGGCGCCTACCAAACGACTTGTTGACGGACTCAAGCAAAACTTACTACGAGAGAATGACTGGACAGCCGACAATTTTACTAGAAACGTATGACAATAGACGGATCGGAACGCACCAATGACGTTACAGCTCAACTGACAGACGATCAACAACATCGCCGCTTAATTAACTAATCAGGTCAATAACCAAGGTTTAATACTATCAACTGACATAATACAACTCACTGACTGACCGCACAGGTTGTCGAAAGGTCAGTCGCTGTCAACGACATTCCTATTCAAGACTACGTTTCCCCGGACGATCATGCTCAGCCTACTTATGAAAGTTTTCATTTCTGCAAAAAATGTACCTTATTAATAATCAATGCAACAAATAACTATCGAAAACCGAAAAACCACCTTCCTCTTTTGGGAAACCTAAAACTGACCAATGGCAAAAGGAAAACAGCGTCAATCGTTGCAGCAAAGATGGCTTTATTGTCATCTTAATGATTTCAACAGAGTTGTTGTGACGTGATATATTCTTTAAGACTTCCAAACTAACCTGTGTTTGAGAACACCAATTGTTCATGATTTTTTTTTTTATTTTTTATTTTTATTTTATTTGCCACACTAATTACAAAAAATATAGGAAAAGAAGAAGAAAAAAAAAAAAAAAAAAAAAAGAAGTGGCGAGGAGACCTAACAGAAACTATAGGAGCTTATGAGAGGTTAGGCCTCCTCGAACTATGAGCTAGAGCTGTTTCACATCAATTGAAGAGAAGAAGGCGAAAAGTCGAAGATGGAAAGATTTATAAACTGTTTTCATACTTACTCAATAATTTAATCTTCAGTTTTTTCTTAAAAGAGGAGAGGGATTGAGAGTTGATGATCTTGTTGTCAAGTGAATTAAAAACTTAGGCCCTTGAAAAAGGGCGAGAACTTCTTCGTGTTTGTACGACAATACGGTAGACGGTAGGCCTGGGAATTTCTTGTATTGTAAGAGTGGAATTGATTGCTTTGAGAGAAATTGTTATTAAACTTTGGAGGTAAGAATGAATTTTTGCAAGAATACATAAATTGGCCCAGTTGAAGCAAATGGATATCATTAAATTTTAGTATACCGAGGTCCTTAAAGATGGGGTCAGTATGAGCATTAAAATGTGATTTATTAATAATTCTAATAATGCGCTTTTGCAGGATAACAAGGCGGCGGAGATTAGTTTTGTAGGTCGAAGCCCAAACGATATTGCAGTAGTAAAAATAAGGATAAATTAAGGAATAGTAGAGCATACGTAAAGACGATTTAGGAAGAAAGAAGCTGCATCTAGATATTATGCCGATTGACTTCGCAACTTTACTTGCAACGTGGGATATTTCCGACTTCCAATTTAGGTTTTCATCCAAAATTACGCCTAGAAAATTTGTCTCCTTTACTTTAACAATATTTTGATTATCTATACTTATTTGAATATTACAAATTGAACGCTTTTGTCTTGGTTTGAAGACCATAAATTTAGTCTTTTTAAGATTTAGAGAAAGCTTGTTTGCTTTAAACCAGATTGACAGTTTGTCCATCTCCAAGTTTAACATATCTGAGAGATAGTTCAGATCTTTATGTGACATGAATACATTGGTATCGTCAGCGAACAATATCAGATTTAATAGATTAGAAGCATTGTTGATGTCGTTAATGTACAGTAAGAAAAATAGAGGTCCGAGGATAGAACCCTGAGGGACCCCACAAGAGATTTCATTTCTTAACGAACGGTGGCCATTATATTCAACATATTGCTTTCTGTTTGAAAAGTTAGTTACTGTCCACCATAAACCCAACACTTCAGCATTGGTTCCCTTGTCCCAAGCACATGTTGTACTTGCATGGCCTGTGCAACAGTAGGCGGGCATACTTGAACGTTTGTTATTGTGGTTCGCTTTGTAGATGCATTCGCTCCTTTGAAGTTTTGTACTCAGTCAAGAGTTCACATGGACCCTTCAATCGAGTAAATGAAATCGACATAATTTTTACCAGCTTTCATCATGTGTTATCTCAAGGTGAGTTCATGAGGTGTTAGAAGTACGTTCGAATCTTATAGTCGTATAAGAAAGCTATAGAATTGCTGCGTTTTATATGATCAAAAACTTATTGTCTACCCGCTTAGCTTTACTCGAGTTCATTATTATTGGCGCCATTTTCTGATATCAGAAATTCCTGGTTTTCGGACACGAATCCCACAAGTGTCAGTCTTGTCTTGTCTTGTGCAATATCTTTTCTTGTCTTGGGTCTTGTCTTGTGTCTTGTCTATTATTCTTGCCTTGTGTCTTGTCTTGTTTCGTCTTGTTTTTGCGTTGTGTTCTGTTGTCTTGACTTGTCTTTAATCTCGTACCCAGATCTCTAATAACAAAGGCGAAGGCGGGATCTGGTCGAGTGAGAAAATTCATTTTTTTTCATTGGGTAGATTGTGAGCGAATGACGCGAATGTTGTCTCCTGCGCGCGCTATGGCGTCCGCACAAAAGGTCATTCTCTGCAAAGTCTTCAGTTCTGTTCAAAAACGTATTTTCACTGAAAAAGTAGTTTTCCGTCTCAATATAAATTGTAAACCATTTTATCTTATCTTTAAAGACTTTTCAAAACTCTCTCTATATATCAATAAAGACTTTTGAAACGTAGTTACTAAAACATGGAACGACCTAAAACCACCTAAAACCATCTACAACCACCTACAACCACCTCAAAAAATTCAACAACCACCTACAACCATCCACAACCACCTCAAAAACATCTACAACCACTCGCAAACAATCTAAAACCATCTAAAACAAGGTATAAATGTCTGAAATAAGGCGAGACGACAACAAGTCACGTACATGAAATGGAAAAGGATAAAAAAAACTTCTCACCAAGAAACTGACGCGTACTGCCTTAAGGCTTTAGCGCGCGCAGTGATAATTACTAAATTTAAACAGGAGCCCATTTTAAACTAACTGTTGAGTTGAATTTGATGTTACAAAGAACAACAACAACAAATTAGTTGGTTCATACTTACAGCGGTTACTACTAGCACGCGCCCTCGAAGGGTTTTTTTTTCTCTTTGTTGAAACCTGAGTTTTCGTGGACGTCAATCAACTGTTTCCATGATTTTCTAACGCGCGCTGACAGAGGTTCCTTCATTGCTGAATGCAGGGCAAAGACTGACAAGAATAATTTCGAATAACGACGGCGTTTTTAATTATTGAATTAAGAGGAAAAATTACATTGGTAAAACAACGAGGTCTCTGCGAGCTGAGTGAAATAGCCTAAACACTCTCTATTTACGTAAACGTTTTCAGGTTGTTTATTTATTTGATTGTATGAAAACACGGAAGCCGTGGACGAATTGCCAAGGAGTAGAAATTCAAAGAAACGAAAGATATCACACTGACAAGGGAGAAACGTTTCCTCTAAATGGAGGCTGTTTTCGAAAATGAATTTTGTAACCTGCAGATCTACTTATCATTCTTCAAGTTATCGAATAGAATCCAGAACTAGCAAGAACTCGCAGAAAACCATTTGAGGACGCGTGTTAGTGGTAGCCGCTGTAAGATGTGCATATAACCACGTTTTGTTAGAAAAAACTTTACGGCTCTATCAAATTTACTGTTTAACACGGCGAAAAACGGCCGCGATTTTGAGGATTTATTTGGAGCATGCGCTCTTTCATCGCCTGTCACATTCCTGACAGCAGATCACGTGTACAAATCGGATTTGACCAGACCAGATCTCGCCTTCGGCTTCGTCAACAAGAGCTCTGGGTACGAGATTAGATTTGTCTTGTCTTTTACCTTTCTTGTCTCGCCTTGTAGTCGTCGTGTGTTTTCTTGTCTAGAGTTTTGTCTCTTCTTGTCTTGTCTTGTTTGTCTTGTCTCATCCTGTCTCGTCTCTTCTTGCCCTGTCTTGTCTTGTCTCATGTCATCTCGTTCCGTCTTGCCGTGTTCTGTCCTGTCCTGTCTTTTCTTGTCCTTTACTGTCCTGTCCTGTCCTATCTTGTCTTGTCCTGTCCTATCCTGTCTTGTCCTGTCTTGGCCTGTTCTGTCCTGTCTTGTCTCATCTCGTCTCATCTCGTTTCGTCTGGTCTTGTCCTGTCTTGGCAAACGTTTTTGAGGGACGCAAGTCAACCGGAAGTGCTCTTTTTGCATTCTTGGGCAGTGGTTTTGCACAAGTTCTGGGGGGGATCGTCTCTAAAAGCGTAAGTATAAAGACAAAGCAGTACAAATTTGCTAGCGTCAAGGCATACTAAAAGGGAAAAGGCCTCAGTTCCAGTTGACGTACGTCATTTTTTTTTTGCAGAGGATAGAAGGCACGCTCAAGGATGGTATGTTATTGTGGCCTTGGATTTTTGGGGAAGACGCAGTCTTCCTTCAGATCCAGTTATCCAGAGGATACACCCATCACTTGAATTCTGATTGTTTTCAGATACTTTAGTAAAAAGGGCTGTTAATTCACTTATTAGAAAAACAAGGAACATTTAGATCGATTATTGGCATGTAGATAGTATGCAAAAATATTAAATTGCTACATTACAAGGCAAAGGATAACTCACTTTCTTGCAAATGTGTTTTACCTCAATGAGCAAAGACCAGCTTTTTGAAAATATGTGCTACAAGTAAATGGAAATATCTGAAGAACTACAATACGTAGGAAAATAAATTCATAATTGAGACCTTGACGCGTGGAGGGAAAAATTACTTCCGGTCACCGTACCAGACGCTTCTATAGTCCTTGCGTAAAGCCCCCATTGCTTCATTTCATACTCTGGGAGGATTGACACGAGTCTGCATGTCATTATTGGATTATTAACACGGGATTTTCTTAGTATTCTATTTCCCAACACTCTTACTTGCACTCATTGTTTAATATAGGTGTGGGAGCATTAATCTTGCCGCTTCTCTCGAGTTTCCACCTCGGGGAACATAGAAAAACCCATTCCCTACAGGCTAAAGCCTTCCAAAACTACAAGCCCTGTCACTTGAAACAAATTTATTAAGTTGTTGAAGCCTGGGATATCGTAACCCAGCGGAGTTAAGACAACAGAACCGATTCGGGCGGCAGAGATCCCTCAGTTTGACGTTTCCGTGAAGCATCAACGGGAAAGGTGAAAACAAAACCTTTCAGTTCTTTAAGGTTATCCCATTCTGAGGTATTGGAACTCAGGTGAACTTGAGCCAACCGAGCTGATGCCACTGCTGGGTTGAGAACTTTAGCCAGTAAGTAAGTAGCACAAAGCCGTATATCAATGAATCCAAGCCACATGATCTTGTAGCTTCAGAAAACAATATCAGCTGGCGTAGACGCTCGTCAACCGCCTGGAGGGTTCGCCTGTCCAGACAAGTGGACTCGCATGGAGTTACCGCCTTTCTCTTATAACTGCAGCGTTGGCAGAACCGAAAATCAAAGTCATTCGCATGACTACAACATTGACATCTTACAGAAACAACTAACAGGTTAGCCACCATTGAAAGGTCGTACAACAAATGGATCAAAATGGAAAAAGAAACATCATAAGAAGCACGAAAACATTTTTATTGTATTCGTCCACCGTTTGAAGCTTAGAGTAAGGCGCGCGATTAAGATCTTCTTGTAGCTGACCATTACGGCAATCAATGTACAACAAACACAGGATTCCTGATGAACGAAAGAAATTGGTTTCCACTAAACCTGTTGATTGATAGACAAAAGGAGAAATCTTCCAACCGAAAAGAAGTGTGTTGTAATGGAAATACGCGCAACCACACTGGATCCCAAAGTAGGCTCTACGTTTTCCAGCCAACAAAAGGTGGTCATGTCCAGACCTCTCGTCAAGGACGGTTTGATAAGATTGTCGGCTAACATACCGGGGCAAGTAGGAGAGACAGTCCAACTTGAATGGAGCATTAACCATCCAAAGATTAAGGAAACGGGCGTCATGGCCTAGCCTTTGCCGGTTCAACAGTCAATAATAATACGAGGTGGGGTAGACGAACCTAACCAACGTACGCTACCACGGATATAGCACCAGAGTGGATCTTATCAAGCAATGTCTTGCGTTCAAACTTAGCAAAAGGTCCACATGAAAGATTATTTTTAAATTGAGTGGGTAGCGGGCGAGCCGAGTCATACGCCTTCCCTTTGAAGTTACCACTAAAGGAACGAAAAAGTCCTCAACCGATACTTTGTTCCAAATCCAACGCAAGACCCGAAGTTGTTGAGGAGTCGGATCATCGCCAAAATCTCTTCCCAGCTTTCCACGTGACTGTGTAGTTCCCCAGCTCGAAAATGATCTGGGCCTCTAAACTGTAATTCTAAGACACTCCCAGGGCCATCAACCAAAATGAATCTATGGAGTCTTCATCGGTATTGTTGTCACCCCCACACTGCCCCCGGAAGGATCTCTCCATTGGTCAACCCAGTGAACATATTGAGGTGGTGAATGAACAACAGCTAAGAGAGCAACGTCAAAAAATTGGTCCAGATCGCATTCCTATGCCAAGTGAAAATTACCCTGGAAAAAAGACAAAGGGTAAAAATGTTTGAGTGAGAATGTCAAACAACTAGCTATAACGCATAACAAAAGGGGAAACCTAGAGGCCAGCGGGGGGAACAATTGAGACTCAGAATGACTAGGAAGGTTTATTTAAGTTACCCCGTTTTCGCAATTGTATTTCGCTCCAGTCTAAAGGGTGAGAAAAGGAGACTTGGCGATAATGATAGTCAAAGAAAAAAATCATTCGTACGGCAAAAACAAGTATTTATTCTCCAAGTATCACGATCAAGGAGTATGTTGAACACATAAACAAGTTCACTTCAGCTACTTTTTTTGCCATTACTATTCGCAGCATTTTGCCCTACCCGGGAGTATGACACCCAGATCTCTCTTACTTTTATAACAAGTCAACCTAGTATGACCAAACTTCTGGCAATAATAGCAACGAATGGGTATATAGGGGGCTAGGTCCACCTCAGATCTCGGTCTGCTAAAACTCGTCCTTGACGGTTTTGCGCCGGTTACTCTTCTCAACCTTCGCCATAATATCTAGGATTTTTTCCTGATCCTTATC